ATAGGAATAATGAAGAGATTTTGTAAGGAGCTTTTTTACCCTGATGTTGGATATTCGAGACATGTCCGAAAAGGATAAGATGTTTTATTTTCTTGAGGACCTCAAGCCTTAGGCCAGGATAGAACTACAAAGATAAAAAGTACAAGACGTGGCCACGGTCATGGCTGCAGCTGAACGTCTTCACGATTATAATGATGGTTTCTCAAAATGAAAAAATCTTTCATCAGTTGGCAGTAGCTTCAACTTTGGGAGTGGGAGAAAGATGACAAGGTTGGAACGGCCCTTCAGTGGGGGACCAGACATGAGGTCTTTTATCGAGATAGCACCCAACTCAAGACAAGCAACGCAATGATTTTCAAGTCTCGGTAACTGTTAGCTTGCTTCCTTTGCTTCCTTTGTAAGGGGTCGTATAGGGTGGCCGAATGCCCACACAGAGGAGCTTTTAATGCCTTAAGAGCCTTGTCTCAAGAGTCCATAAAAGTACCAGAGCGTAGAAAAAGTTGAAGATGAGCCAATCAGGATGGGTTCAATAAGGTTCTTCAATGCCCTCCGCACCCAACTGAACACGATAAAAAAAAAATAAAGTAGAGGCCTGATGTATGTGAACTTAATGATCAATGGGAAGGCCACCAAGGTCATGGTAGATACAGGTGTAACCGATATTTTTATTACACTAGAAGAAGCAAAAAAGTGTGATTTTCAAGTTAGTAAGGGCTGTGGACGAATGAAGGGGGTCAATTCGTCAGTCTTTACGATTAGTGGAAGTTCAACCAAATTGGGGCCATGGGAAGGGAAGGTGGACTTTACAATTTTTTCCATGGATTACTTTAATGTCGTCTTCAGATTGAACTTCATGATGTTAGCTCAGGTGATCCCTATCCTCGTCGTTAGCTGCTTGTTGTTCTTAGGGGAACACCCATGTGTGGTGCCGATCAATATCTTGCTAAAGAGTGGGAAGAGAATGATTTCAGCTTTACAGTTCAAGAAAAGGGTAAAAAGAGGGGAACCCTTTTTTGTGGTCATACCGATCTTCAAAGAAGGGTCAGAAGTGGAACCGATACCTGATGGCATGAAAAAAATATTGGAAGAATTCGAAGAGGTGATGCCAGAGATGTTGCCTAAGGTTTTACCCCCTCGACGAGCAGTGGATCATGAAATTAAGCTCCGTTCAGGAGTGAAACCCCATGTTAGAGCCCCTTACCGCATGACCCCGTCAGAGTTGGTCGAACTAAGGAAACAGTTAGATAAACTTCTACAAGCTAGGTTCATTAGACCATCAAAGGCTCTTTTCGAAGTTCCAATGCTATTTCAGAAGAAGCATGATGGAAGTTTACGATTATGTGTTGACTATAGGGCCTTGAACAAAGTCATCGTGAGAAACAAATATCCCATCCCTCTTATAGCAAATTTGTTTGATCAATTAAGTCGGGTCAAGTACTTTTCCAAATTGGACTTAAGATCTGGCTACCATCAGGTCAAAATCGTTGAGAGATATGAGCCAAAGATCACTTGTGTAACATGGTATGGTGCATTTGAATTTCTTGTTATGCCCTTTGGACTGACCAATGCTCCTGTCATATTTTGTACATTGATGAATCAAGTGTTTCATGACTATCTAGATAAATTTGTAGTCATCTATTTAGACGACATAGTGGTATATAGCTCAATTCTGAAAGAACATCAAGAACACCTGCGTCAGGTGTTTCGAAGGTTACAGGATCAACGGTTATACGTGAAAAGAGAGAAGTGTGCATTTGTTCAGACCCAAAATCTATTTTTTCGATCACATTGTCGAACGTAGCCACATTCGAATGGACATGAAAAAGGTTATGGCCATCAAGGAGTGGATAACACCAAAGAATGTTAGTGAATTTCGCTCGTTTTTTGGACTAGCCAACTATTATAGAAGGTTTGTGGAATGGTACTCTCGTAAGACCACGATCCTAATGGAGTTATTGAAGAATGAGCATAAATGGTGTTGGACGAGCGAGTGCCAAGAGGCCTTTGAGGGATTGAAGAATGCTATTATGAAAGATCCCATCTTAGCTCTCCTTGATATTGAAAAGCCTTTCGAAGTTCAGATGGATGCATCTGATTTTGCTATTGGATGAGTGCTTTTATAACATCACCCGATAGCATTTAAAAGTAGGAAGCTAAGTGAAGCTGAGAGGAAGTATACGGCCCAAGAAAAAGAGCTCCTAGTGGTAGTTCACTGTTTGAGGGCTTGGCGACATTATTTGTTGGGTTCACATTTTGTCGTGAAGACAGACAATGTAGCTGTTAGCCATTTCCTCACTCAACTAAGGCTTACAGCGAAACAGGCTAGATGGCAGAAAATTTTATCGGAGTTCGACTTTTATCTTGAGCACACCGTTGGAAAGACCAATCAAGTGGCCGATGCATTAAGCAAGCGAACAGAGTTAGTGGCCCTTAAAAGAATTGCCTCAATGGCAGCTAGTAGAGCCACGACAGACGTTCGCAAGTTGATTGAGGATCATTTAGGGAAGGACCCGCAAGCCAATGCCATCCTGAAGCTAGTGGAAGAGGGGAAGTTCAAGTACTTCTGGCAAGAAAATGGGGTCTTGTGGACCAAAGGGCCTCGATTGTTTGTACCAAAGGTAAGAGGTCTGAGACAGATGTTGATGAGGGAATGTCATGACACCCCATGGACGGGTCATCCAGGCTGGCAACGCACTTTGGCGTTATTGAAACAGGGGTATTATTGGCCTCAGATACGACAAGATGTAATGGACTATACAAAGACATGCCTCATTTGCCAACAAGACAAAGTTGAAAAGAGGAAACCTGCAGGCTTGCTTGAACCACTATCGGTACCCGTCAGACCATGGGAAAGCATCTCTCTCGATTTCATTTCGAGTCTACCCAAGGTTGGTGATCTTGGAGTCATTTTGGTAGTGATTGATCGGTTCTCTAAATACGTCACATTCATTCCCGCTCACAAGTATTGTACAGCAAAAGACACAGCTCGACTATTGTTTAAACATGTGATCAAATACTGGGGTCTCTCTCAAAATATTGTCAGCGATAGAGATCTGAGATTCACGGGGTCTTTCTGGAGAGAACTTTTCAAGATATTGGGGTTCCAACTCAACATCTCCTCAAGCTACCAACCTCAAACCGACGGTTAAACGGAACGGTTCAATGGATTGCTAAAAGAATACTTAAGGCACTTTGTTCAAGCCAATCAGAAGAACTGGCCTTCTTTATTGGACGTTGCCCAACTCTGCTTTAATTCCAACAAAAGCTCTTCCACCAGTAAGAGCCCATTTGAGGTGGTCACGAAACAGTTACCAAGGTTACCCCACACTTCCTTGGAATAATATGGAGGAAAAAATTCGAGAGCCTTCAACCTCGGCAAGGAATGGAAACAAAACACGGAGATTGCACAAGCCTACCTGGAGAAAGCATCAAAGCGAATGAAAAAATGGGCAGACAAAGGTAGTAGGGCTCAACAATTTCAAGTCGGTGATTTGGCTCTTGTTCGACTAGTCCCTGAACAAACCAGGTTCTTGAGAAAGAGAGATCGTAAATTGGTGCGCAAATATGAGGGTCCAGTGAAGATCCTTTCCAAGGTGGGGAATGCTTCTTACAAAATCCACCCACCAAAGTGGATGAAGGTGCACCCAGTATTTCATATGAGCAACTTGAAACCTTTTCATACAGACCCTATAGATGCTAGCCGAAGGGAGCCAACCAGAGCCGCCATCACCATGAAGCCACCCTCAGAGCGTCGAGTCGAAGAGATCTTAGCCGACAGGGAAACCAAGATATCTCGAAGACTTGTTCGGGAATACTTAGTGAAGTGGGAGGGATTAGGACTAGAAGAAATCAGCTGGAAAAGAGAGCACGACCTCCAGAGATTCAACAGAAAGATCGAAGAGTTTCAAGCCAGCAAGTCGACGAGGACGTCGATAGAATAGGTGGGGGAGGATGTCATGAGCCAACCTTGTATAGGGCCATAACCGGGGCTTAGGTTGTCATGAGTCACCCATGTATAGGGTCATGACCAGGTAGAACTCTTGTGCTAGGAAAAGTGTCCCCATTTCAAACATTGTAATGGCTACTGGTAGCATAGCGCTAAAATTTTTAAGGCTCTTTAGGGGGTGAGCCGATAGCATACTGTCGGGCTGTCTCACCGGTTGTTATGCGAGCCTAGGCCATCCACCAAGGGCTGCTCCCCTGGCCCTGGTGATAGTGGGAAGTCCCGATATATGGTTCTCGATTATAATAAAATTCATTCAAATTGAATATTCTGAATGTTGCCTGGATGTGGTTTTTTTTTTTTCAATGTGAATGTTCCTTCTTACGTGTGCTTGAGATTGATCTCGATATAATGTGTTTTATTGTGAATGCTTGGAACTAACCATGCTTATGGTTATTTGTTCAGATATCGAACAATTGAAGACTGACTTGGGTGAAAGCGTCCATTCAAGTGTCGTACGGTCTATTGCTTGTTGAGAGAAAGTTTAGTCCGTGACACATAGCTTGATATTACCATGAACCAGTTGAAGCCTCTTTGGACAAAGTATGTCGACTTTGATTTGGATTTCGTCGAGGCCTGCAATTTTGGTATCTAAATATGCTACAAAACTAGTTTTACAGCAAGAATTTCATCTTACCATCTGCATTTTCTTACACGTTAATCAAGTGTTTTTATCCTGCGTGGAAGAAAATTAGCATCTATTTAAAGCAAACACAATACTTTGTCATATTAATTTAAGACTTCTTCCTTTAATTTGTTCATAAAATTGTTCAACTGTTAAACTATTCTGCAATCGTGATATCAAAGATGTTAATCGTCTAAGGAATAGGATTTTGTCTTGTTTGATTATCCCAAAGGGTCGACCAAAATCAATGGATTTCTTCTGCATCGAAAAGCTATCTTCAAATTTACATCTGTCGAAGTGGAACAGGGTAAGCTACACTTCAAATCTATGAATTTGTATTGCGGATACGTCTTTTGTCCAAAAAGCAACAAAGGCAAAAACCATCAATAAAAAGGTAGATTTCCCAATATCGAATGCCCCAGAAGCCTAAACATCACAGTAGTATGGTAAACAAGAATTTAATCTACTATCCACGATCAACAAAAACCTTTCAGTACATATTATCAAAGACAAAACCGTAAACAAATCTAAGATAAAACTCCTCTCCAAATGCTATGCAACAATCTCGATAGATGACTACACTACAAACCGAAAGTTACCTTTGACCACCCCTCCAACCAATTTCCAGATTAATTTCTTCATGCAGGGGCAGATACCCTTGGTGCCACATTCTTGGCTGCTGCATTAACAGTAAGTCCACCAGAACGGTTCACACGGCTACCATTACTCCCCATGTGCTCACCCCTCTGATATCCATCACCTCCACGGTTGGAATATCCTCCTCGATTGTTGCTCCTGTTTCCATACTCTGACCAATTACCAAACTCACCCCGGCTATAGCCCCTGCCACCACCATAGTTTCCACGTCCTCTTGCTCCCTCATTTCTGTATCCAGACCCAGAACCAGATGAAGACCGTCCTTTGTTCCCTGCAAATGAAGACAGTCTTATAACATGCAAAACAGAAGTTTTAAAGCCCATATTCTTGACTAAACTCTATAATCTGGAACATATCACAAAACTTGCTTTTCAATAAACTATGATTTGCATCCAATCAAGAAAGGAAAACAACAATCCTATGCCAACCAAACATTTCAAATGGTGTAGGATGGAAACACTACTTCAACGTTAACTTAGAAAAAAACAACAAATTTGAGAAGAGCAAAGCTCATTTCTAGCACCTTCTATAATAACCATAAAGTGGCCTATATGATTCACCTAAGTGAAAGATCTCATACTCCAGTCAATATCTCAATATGGTGTCAACTTTTGCCAAATCATGTAGATCATATACTATAACTTTGAGTAAACTTAAAAATAAAAGCAACTTGCCTCGAGATGTAGACCTTTTTTCTTCAACAACTGCTTTACGTCCACCAATATTTATAGGTGATGCCTGAAAAGTATATCAAAAAAGGAAAAAAGCATAAAGATATAAATTTGTTGGACAAAAGAAATTAATAAATGCAGCTGGAAAAGAATCATCTAATGCTGGGACATAAATATAAATTTGGTGCAACCCATGCCATGATAAGAGACCTCATCTACATAAATACCTCTATGGCACTTTGCACAGAACTTGCCACTTCAAATTCCACAAAACCAAAACAGAATCCCTGTCGTGAAATGCAGAGAAAATATTAATTGAATATACTGTCAAAATTCGACACATAGAAAAATGATTCAACATCTACCTTCTGACTTCGAACTTGAATACCACCACTCTTGATAGGTCCAAACTTCTTAAACTCATTCTCCAGCATGCTAGGTGTAGCATTCAAGGGCAGACCTTTGACATAGATGGAGGGACCCTCAGCTGTCCACAATCAAAAGAAATAAGTAAAGCATATGCAAAGGCATGCACATATATATAATACACACACACACACACATAAATACATATATATAATCGAAATAAAGCGGATAACAAATACACTGCATGCCTTAATCTCAAATTGTGCAGGAATGACAAAAAAAAGGTGGATACCTTCCACATCTTGATTATTCCCATTTTCTGTAACAGTGTTAGACGATATCTGTGCATCAGATACGGGGGCTGGAAGAATAGGTGGTGCAGCAGTTCCTGGTTGCTCTGGGCTCTTAACTACAGTCTTCACAGGGGAATTTGTAGGGATTGATAAAGGAACCACATTCTCCTTCATAACCTTCAACTAGAACGATAATAGGTGAGGCTAAATCTACCACCTTAAAGCCAGCACTATAAATCCAAATATAACACCAAGTAATTCTAAAAAAAATTAGAAACCTAGCATGCGGCAGAATGGTACATACAATAGATGCATATGATTTCTTTGGAACTTCCTCAATTTTGGAGTTAGAATCAGCAAACATTTGTGAATCATCAGGAATCTCATCTACAACCTTGGCCACTGGTGCTTCCTCTTCATTGATAGAACCATCTCCATTTTCAGAAGGGTTGTACACTTCTGGCCCATTACCTTCCTCTGGTGATGCTGCCTGTTGCTCAACAATGTGATTCTCTGGAGCAGAGGGATCTGCAGAGAAATATTTACATCAATTGGAGAAATCATTATAATTCTGTATTTCAGAAGTCTGGGTTTCTAATTACCCTGCTTGGGAGTAAGAGAAGGTTCAACATTATTAACAGGATCCTGGCTCCCACTTGGATGTTTGGCTTCATCTACGTATCTAAACACATCATTTAAAACAAAATAGCCCTTGTCTTGAGGTGCCAAAAAGAAACTCTGAGTGAATTTCCGCTTCACTTTGTCCTTTCCAGTTAAATACCCAGTCACAAGAACAAGTACTCCCCCATTGTGAGAGTCCTGTGCATCTACAGTTGTTATCTCTGCTGTAAATTCTCCATAACCAAGTGAGAGTATCTTCTCGTTGATGGCCTGGTCCACAAAATGAAGCACCAAGGTTTCAACTCTACCAATTCAAACTCCTATAAGTCATAACTATTTAGATATTACATCAAGATAATACAACTCAACACGAATTCTAGCTTCCAATACAACCAACCATATACAAATAGAACAGAATGGGTTCCATAACCTTTTCTTATATGAATATCAATCCATCTGGTTGCTGGGAAACAAAAATGTTACCAATTATATATTTCTATATTTAAAGTTCTGCACAAAACCTTGATATGAAGAAAAAGTCTAGATATGAAAATCTTCAATATTGTGTAACATTTCCTTTATTTTCATTTTTGCACAAACAAAACCAAAACCAGAGAGTAGATTTTCACATTGGAAATCAAGTAAACCTGGACTTACTAAGACATATAGATTTCAAAAGGGTAGAAAACATGGTTTTCAATAAAATTGTTAGCTTAAAGAAAGAAAATAAATTTGAAACATAATGAAACGCATATACCCTCATTTAGAAAGTCTGACCCAAGACAAACACACACATGCATGAAAGAGACAGACAGAAAACTTACTTGCATAGTTGTTGTGATACTCATTACACCATTTTCTTCAGGACGACCAAGTTTGCTGCTATTATGGTAAAATCGATGAACCAGCTCAGGGGATTGATATAATATAAGGTAGTATTGATGAACAAAGGCATTACCGACCTAAAATCAACAAAAATAGAGATCAAAACTGAACTTTAACCGTATTATTATTACTAAAACATTCAAATAAGAGGGAAGGGTACATACAACATCAGCAGCAGGAGCTGTAATTCCAGATGGGACTTGTTGTTCTGTAGATGCCATTGCCAATTGGTGTCTGCAAAGCAACGAAACCCTAAACTCAAAGCCATTTACTCAAACCATAACCCTAGGTAAATTTTATGTTTAAAGACGTAATTTTTTTTGTCAGGTAATAGCCACGAAAATTCCAACTTGATACCCACAGAACAAATAAAGTATTGAACTATAAAAAATATCATAACAAAATTTCCGGGAAATTTTTTTGAGCGAAAACAAACAGAACCTCACGGATCCACAGAATAAACACTTTGTTTAGAGTTAAAATGAATTATATCCATTTTCCTGAGAAAATTTAAGTATCTTTTTTTCCCTAGAAACTGAACATGAATCATTGATGTAAGCAGGAGATTAAAGCAACAAAAAAAACAAATTAGAGAGAGAAATGAATAAGAGAATTAGTTGAGAAATGAGGTAATTTAACTAAGCATTTAGATTTGGATCGCAAATCGGTTCTCTTTTTTTTTTTTTGGGTCTTTGTCTCACCTCCCTTTGATGGGTAGGTTGGCGCTTTCTAGGGTTTTTGTGGATGCTGAAGAGGCGCGAGACTGGCGAGGGCAAAATGGAGTGAGAGCACAGGGTTTTTGGTATTTATAGTCGTAAAAAAAATCCCATAGTTAAAGAAATTACCCAAAAAAATTTTTATATCCCATTATTAAATATATCCTCTGTTTAAAATATAATTTTTTATATTTTTTTTTACATAAAAAAAATAAAATCTTTATATAAAAAAAAAAAAATTTAGACTCGAAATCAAACTCTTGATATTCTCTTAAATACACTTCTTCTCGAAAATATTATATTTCCCTTCATTTCATTTTTCACTCTCTTATTCATTTTTTCATTCTCAATTCAAAACTTATCCTTCAAATTATTAAATCATAAATTATTTTTTTAGTATTTTATTCGTTGCAGGTAAATTTTCAAGATTTTTATTCAATACTTTAGTTAATAATGCAAAAATTAGGATTTTTATGAAATTTCTTTTAGTGAAATCGTATATCTCAAAAATAATTTTTTAAAAATATTAATATAAATTTTTTTCTGAAACTAAAATTCATGATATTTTTAAATTAAAATTTAATTTAATTAATTTATATGATTTCTTTTATTAAAAAATTCATGACTTTTCTTATCATTGCAATTGAGTCAATCCATGATTGATTACTTCTTTTGATTGATTATTTATATACATTTCCCTTCTTTTTGTTCATAATACCTTTCCCTTTTGCTTTATTTTTTTAAAATTTTTAATTTAAGCATATAAAATATTTCGAACCTATAACTTTTAAATACTAACTTTAATAAGATACCAATTGAACCAACCAATAATCTTGTCAGTTAATGCAGTTAGAAACCATATTGAAGGAAAGGACAACAAAGAGACTTTTCCATTCTGTTTTCCGAGAAGAGCTCAGTTACAAGCATACAATCATCATTTTCTGCAGCTCCCACGGTCTAAAAAAAAAAACTAAACACCAGGCAAAACAATCATGCATTGCTACAATTGTTGTATTGTTATTAGAAGGCAGAAGGAATTACGGTAATGTGTCTCAGAGGATGTGACACATCATCACCCCCAGCATGCTGCACAAACTCAGCAGGTGTGAATGAACTTCCATGGCAGACACAGATGATGCTGACCTCTGATTTTGTATATCTGTACAGAAAACCATTAATGGTTTTACCATTCGGGCCATTGCCTGTTGTTGAAACGCAAGGCATGTTTTGAAGCGAAAGGATGTCGCCAGGAGGAATTTGAGGCTTAGGAGGCTTGCCCATGTCCCCCTTGGCATCTTTTGTTAAAGTGGCAGCTGGAGTTTCATTAGTCAAAACAGGTTTGCTTCTAAAATCTGATCGTATTCTGGGATTGGGTTCTTCCTTCAGACTTGATGGAGTGGACTCGGTGACCTTCATTGAGGCCTTCTTTTCGATACCGTTTCTAGATTTGTCAATACTTTGGGCAGAGTCCATTTGGTGAGAAGGAGCACTGTGTTCAGACTGGCCCTTTAGATTGCTTGCAACTGAACAATTCATTTGAGGATGTTCCAGTTGACAATGACTTGTGCCGGTTCCAGCTTCACTGCTGCAACCACCTGAAAATGAAAGGCAGCCAATATATATCAACAAAATCTATATTCTTAGCAGAGATAAGCATTTGACATCAATGTATAACATCACAACAACATCGAATAAGAACTAGGAAAAATGATGATTACTTCGGGGAGTAATTCAATACATCCACTAGGACGATGGAGGAAACTAGTATGCTAAACAAGTTCAGTAGTAGATAATTCAGTATGGCTCTCAATTAACTATATTCAACACTGTCAAATTAGCTCATGAAATGGTTGAGCTATGTTATAAGAAAAGAGGGCGCACGACTCAACCACTAGATTCAAGAAAAAGAAATTCATTCCCTCCTAAATGAATAGTTAGAAGTTTAAATAGCAGATTGAGAGTAAATAAATATGTCTACATATCCACAGCTGCAATTTTATTAATAAGTTCATTCAAGGCAAGTATCAGGCAACAGTCAGAAACCAATCCAAATATTGCATTCTGTCGCTCTAACTTTTCTTTCTTTGGTGTGATTATCACGGCTCCAAGAAACTACTCACTTTTCTTTAAGATCGTGTGTCCAACACAAATTTGACATCTCAAAGCAATAAGCTTTAAAATATAAAGAGAAACTTAGAAAAAACATCGCAGTGTGTGGGACACGTCCATGTCTTGAATATGCACACCCAAACCCAAGTATATAAACGACAATTTACACTAATTTGAACATTACAAATAAATGACAATGCCATTAGCTCATGGACATTCCAACTCGAAGCCATCATTTTAAGTCTATAGTTACTCATGATTGGCTCACACACAATTGTATATTGATCAAAAGCAAGGGGCAGAGCCATAACCAAGGGGGATTCTTTGTCCAGTATGTACAGATTTCGCTAAATGCAACAGCCGGAATCTATATATTCTTGATCTACAGTAAAGGTGGACAGATTTGAATGATAGAAGAGATCCAAGTTTTCTTGTTTTCCATTAATCATCATATTATCCAGAAACACAAAATTCCCAAATCAAAATCACTAGAAGCGAATCGTTTTCCACAGACAAATGAACTTCATATTGAAATCGGAACCAGATTCATAAAAAAAGGGTGATGCAGGATTTGGTTTCCGCTGGGGAGCCATGTCATAGTTAAACTAAATTTTCATGATTCTTGGAAACTTGCATGAACAAAAAATCTTTGCACGATCAACAAATGAAAGATTTGTAATAGTAAAACAAATAAAAGCAGACAGCCATCCAGAAAAAAACTGCAAAGCACAAAAAGGAAAACTTGGAGTACCTACCTTGATTAGAAGAGCATTCAAGATCCGAAACCACAGAGGAACTATACATGGGAGACCCATTTGACCCTGTTTTCCTATTCCTTTCATCTCTGCTACTGTTTTGCTCCGAATCATATCCATTTCCAGCATTGACACCTGAATCCTGACCCGTCTGAAACGGCCAAAAGGCTCCATTCGGCGCCACTGGCTGCACGACACTCTTCTCATTCCCAACACCACCACCCCAACAAGGCACCCCATTTGCGCAAGAATAAGCAAACCTATTGTCCAGCGGCAAAAACTGGACCTGCGGGTACGGGGACGGGACCCGCAACGGAATAACCGGGCACCCCAACGGATTATTGAGTTCGGCGGTTGTTTTAAGATTTGCATTACCAGAAAATTCTTGAACTTTATTCTTCTTGCATTCTCTTTCTTCCGTTGCACCGACGTCGTCGACTTTGCTTCGGAACTCGTTTTGGTGACATATAGATGATATTATTGTTCCTCTCTTTTGCTGCTTCTCTTCTCGCTTCTTCTTCGCTTCTTGTCTCCTTAAAGCTTGAATCTCACGTTTCGTTTGCGGATAAAAAACCACGCTTTCCCCGATATCTGCAACGGAGTTATTCTTGGGTTTTGATTCTTTCTTGATTGGCTTTAGTTTCTCGGCCTTTCTAAAGCTTCCTCCTATTGATAATCCCAGCTCTAGCTCAATCTCATCCTCCCCTAACCCCATAATCGCTAAGTCATTTTCCATTTCAAAGACTAAAAAAAAGCTTCCGGCTAAAACCTCATCTACAAATAAATAAACAAAATACAGGACAACAAAAATGTACTCTCTTTGTACCTGCTTGTGCATCCGGCCTTGGATTCAGATTTTCTGGGGAGAGAGAAAAGAAGGAACTGAAGAGAAGAGACAAGGCCACGTGGCGCGATGGGGGAAGTGCAGACAAACGGTTAGTGTTGACACGTAAGAGAGTTTCAGACATATTTAGCGGAAGCGTTAAGTAAGGTTACTCCAGATCAACACTAATTTTTTTTAAACGCCCCTCAGGCCTCAATAAAATCTTCATTTGGATTTTTTTTCTTAAACAGATTTGATAATTTAGATAGTAAAAAAAAAAAAAAAAAATGATGATTCAAATTAATACAAATTATATATTTAAAATTTTAAAAATATATTTCATATTTAATTTATGAACATAAATTTTAATTTTTACTTATATCTAACATGTAGGCAAATAACTGGCTTAATTTTTTTTGTTACGAAAAAAAAATAATTAAGAGGATGGGAGGAAGAAAGAGTTCGGAGTTTGACACGTGGCCACGTGCATGAAGAGCTGAAGAGTCGAAACAGCTTTGGTGGGATTTTCCGACACACTTGCAGATACGGACACGTGGTAGGAGATCTCGCTGTCCTCGAGGATCTCGATCGTCTCTTCTCGAATTCCCAGGAATCGAAAAGCAACGTCGCGGCTTTTGGGTAAGACACGTTTAAGATTTTGTGAGGTAGGCCCGGTTTTCCATGCGTTACACTAGCTTGAACCTGACACGTGGCTGCAGCTCGTGGCGTTTCAGCTCAGCAGTCGTCAAGTTGGTCAAGTTGCGTTCGCAGAGGGATTGACGGGGAGGTGTCGACGTGGGTCGTATTGTTAGCGTTTCGTACACGTTGTGGCAGCCATTTGGATAAGCGGCTAAACGTGGCAAACATCAAAGGGGATTTATAAACGTAAGGTAAAGTGTGGGGTAGTTTGGACCGGGAGTGGACCAAGGTTTGAAAGTTGAGGAAGTGGCGCATGATGGCCACGTGGCATCGTCTGAGAAGGGCAGTGAAAATCACGAGCATTATGAGACTGAAATTGCAGTAGCAATGGCTGATAATTACTGTAAAAATTTTTACAAATGATATAAAAAATATATAAAAATATATTTTATGAATAATACGAAATATAATATAATAATTTTTATATTATATATATGTATTTAGTACAATAAATATGATAATCAAATATTTTTAAATTAATTGATATAGTATGAGAATTGATAGTTAAAAATTATAAATTTAAAAAAATTTATATAGATAATATTTTATTCAATTAATAGATTAAAAATTTAAATATAAATTAAAAATAAACCTTTGTTGATTGTCTATTATTTATTGTATTTTAGATAAGAAAGCTTTGTTGGTGGTGGTGGGATTAGATGTTAATTAATAAAGAATTAATATTATATTTGATTCATCAATGTTTGTTGGTTCAAATAATAAAAAATTTGAATTTTTTTAGATAAAATTTTAATTTTGAATTTTATGAATGAAAAAAAAAATTTATTTTTTTATGAAATTCGATCTGATTCAATTTCGAATTAATCGAAACTTAAAGTAACGATAGAACATAAAAAATTTCAAACAAAAAAATTATTATTTTTGACCCATTTATATAAGTGGATTAGGGGCAGATTTGGATAAAACTGAGGTGCGGTTATCATCTAAAAATCATCATTTATGTCCAAATAATGGAAAAGTGAAGTGCAGTTGAATGAATTCAATCATGTCACAATTTTTTTTACACTGGAGCTTTAAAATTCAGTTAATTTTTTTTCTTTCATTGTTCTATATTTTCTAATTTTATTCTAAATCCATGATTTATAGCCTAAAGTGAGAGGAATGCCGGCAGCATTACGGGTGGCTTATTGTTTGAGTTTGATTTCCAGTTTGTGGATAGCAGTTGGAGAAGATTATTCAATGGATCGAACAATGCCTGCAAGTCATGATTGGTATGGCCCTTTCACAATTTGGGCTGAATGACTATAGTTTCTATCATTGCAAAAATAATTCAATCTTGAAATCATAACCGGCACAAATGCTAGGATAATAACTGTGTTTTAAAGCAATGTAATAAAACAGTTCATTCAAGTCCTTAATTGGTCACATGGCTACTGAAACTAGAAGGTCAGCTACTTGATTATCCTCCCTCCCCATACTCAAATGTCATTACCGTAACCCTCTTACAATTCAGAGCACAGGGCAAGGCTAAAAGTATATAATATTCTAACAATACGACTGCTAATTTTGGGTTATAAATTATATGTTAGTGCGAGTATTTAAACTTGATATGGATAAAATTTCAATTTAATTCAGTTATTGTCAAGCAAAACTCGAATTCAAATAATTTAATTTATTGAACAAATCGAATTCAAACATTTTAATTTATATATCGAATAACTCACGAATCTAATTGAATTTTTAAATTTTAATTAAAAAAATTATTATTTTATTATATATATATATTAATTCGAACTCAAATTCGAGTTTGAATACATAATCGAATATAAAATCAAATATAATAATTAAACTTATTTTTATTAAATTAATCTAATTGAATGAATTTAAATAATTTAATTTTTATTTCAAGTCAAATTCAAACTTAAAAATTAAAATTAGATCGAATTGGAACCTAATTACAAATATCAAATTTTAATTTGAATTTAAATTCAAACTTTTCGTTGCATTGACTCTACTAAACTCAATTACATCTCTATGCTAATCACAGAACAAAGATAGAAAATGGGACAGGATTGGCCTGCGTTATTCATATTTAAATTGGTCGCATTGTCCATCAGTTGGGGGCCATAAGAGGCCTTATATTCACTATTGGATAGTAAGAAATTTCATTAATTTAGAGTTGATAAAGACCATCAGGAAGGCGAGGAGATAGAATCACTTCGAGAGGAGTTGCCTTGGGCATGTTACCACCTGGGCCTTCAGTCATATCCACTGGAGCATTTAAAGGTGCTGTTAAGTCAAATCCTTGAAGCAGGCGTGCAATTGTCAAGCGAGTCACTTGCAATGCCCAAGTCATCCCTGGGCAAGATCGTCTACCAGAACCAAATGGGATCAGCTCAAAATCTTGGCCCAAAATGTCCACGTTTTCATGGGTTGTGAGAAATCTTTCCGGCTGAAATTCCTCAGGATTCGACCAAATTCGTGGGTCTCGTTGCAACTTCCATACATTCACAAATAAACGTGTGCCCTTTGGAATATGGTAGCCGCTAACACGACAATCTTCCATTGCCTCATGTGGAACTGATAGAGGAGCTGGTGGATATAGGCGGAATGTTTCCTTAATTATGGCCTGGAGATAGACTAATTTCTCAATATCAGAGTCTTCCACCCATCTATCTCGACCAATTTTCAGGTCTAGCTCTTCTTGAGCACGCTTCAAGGCATGTCTATTGTTCATCAAGTTGGACAAAATCCATGTCATTGCAAGGGATGTCGTGTCACTCCCTGCTGACAATAGAGTCTAAAGTACAAAAGAAAAACCTGTATTAGCATGGCTTGTATTCTTGTCGAACTCCCGATTAAGGGTTAAAACTCTAAAATCACAAAGAAATGTCTTATCTCTCTTAGGGCATCGAAGTGCAAATATAAAATATACATTTTACTTTTGCCTTAATTACTCTTTTTTTTTTATAATTTCAGAATTTTAACCCTCAATCCAGCACCTACCGATTGTTAAGTTGAAATTTGTTGATTAACAAACATATTGAACCATGGTCCAATCCAAATATGCAAATGGTCAATCCAATGAAGAATCAAGAGTGCAAAAGCATACCGTTACTGTTGCCTTGATAATATTTTCGCGTGTATGGCCGAACATGGAATCATCCTCTATCACAGATAGCATCACGTCGATGAAATCTTGATCATTGTTTGCTCCGATTTTAAGCCTCTTTAATTTATGTTCATCGACCCAACTTTGAACAAGAGAGTCCATCTCCTTCGAAATACGCTTCATCGATTTCACTTGCCAGCTCCAGATATCCATCCATTTTAAAAACGGAACCACTTCTGAAAGAGAATTAACACCTAAGAAATACGCAAATTCTTTGGATAGCTTCATGAAACGTTTGGCTTCCTTGTCTTCACTCTCAGCATCTGAGAAATATCTCTTCCCTGCAATTATTCTTAGAATCATGTTTAAGGTCAAAACATGAAGCCTTTGATCAATTGAGATCTTTTGGTTAGGACTCTGCTCATTTTTCTTGCAAAAGAAGTACAAATTTTTGATAAATGCATTCACCTCCGAGATTTGAACATGCTTTAATGTCGCTAGCCTATGGGTAGAGAGAAGTTCAACCACGGCTACCTTACGCATCTCACGCCAATATGCTCCGTAAGGAGCAAACCCAAAGCCTGCGTAGTCGTAAGCAAGGTATGTTCCTACATTCGATCTTGGGCGAGTGGCAAAGATCCTGTCGTTTATTGTTAAACACTCTTTAACTGCTTCGTGATTGGAAACGACAAGGGTGCGGAACATGCCGAGTCGGATTGTGAAGACAGGTCCATATTTATCTGCCATAGCTGCAAGGGTTCGGGCAACTGTTCGTTGGGCACCAAGCAGGTGAAGGTGGCCTATGATGGGTAAGGCACCTGACGCTTCTGGGGCTAGTAATTTTCCCTCACTGCTGTGCCTGCAAAGCCTCAACCTCCATATATTGTACAACATTACCAACCCTAAAAGGCCTCCAACAATTGCTGGTAGATAAGAGGAGAAATCCATGATAAGGTAGGACTAATTACCCTGACTTTATTATTTAGTGGATTTGCAAATTTATGACTGTAGCGGTAGCAGCAGGAGCAGCAATGTCAGGACTGTAAAATCAGTCGGAGTTGAAAAGCTTCGAGTATAAAGCCATGATCGAAGGTGCTGGTAGGGGAGCTTGGAATACGTGGGAGAGGGGATGGATGGAGAAGGGAAACAAATGAAAGGATAGAAGCAAATGAAGTAAAAAATCAATGGCGTTATAATGATCCTGGAGATCCCTGGCTAGAATTGTAATGTGGTTGGAAGCTGATGTTGTACCGCATTAACTCTAGATGTCGTGGTGGGGACGTTGCCCCATTGTTAGCCATAAAAAAAGAAAGAAAGCCAATCAAAGTTGTCATAGATAACATATAGAGTGACGGCTACAGGCCTCTCAATTATTTGATGAGGGCGTGAACTCAGGATAACTCATAACTTCGAGTGGAGTTGCCTTGGGCATCGTAATGTCTAGCCCTTTGGTCATATCACAACTGTGCGGTTTAGAATCCATTTAAATAAACAGTAAAATTGATTATGATGAAATTAAAAATAATAATAAAAATAAAATTAATTATTGTTATAATTAAGAGTAAAAAAATTTAAAAAAATTGATTTAAAATTATAATATTTGGTTCAATTGAATCTAATTTAAATATTAATCCAAATAATCATATCAAATCAAATTATATATATTTATTAATTTTTATATATTTTTTAAATTTTTATAAAATAAAATAATTATTTTAGATATAAATTTATTTAAGTATATCTAAAATTTTATTAAAATAATATATAAAAATTAAAAATATTAAATATGAAATATTAAAAATTAATAAATCAAATCGAATTGAATAAGTAAAATTCAACTCAGATCAGATTAATTTAAAAAAAAAATAGATTCAAATTCAGATCAAATTTTAAAAATTTATAATATTATACATTATTAAAAAAAACTAAAATAAATTTGATCTGATCTAAATTGTTATCACTTTAATTATAACGACATTAACATCAATAGTGAGATATATATTTAAATGTAAAATAATAGTGAATATAAAATAAATTGCATTGAAAAGAAAATGATCATTAAATATATTAAATTAAATGTTATATAATAAAAGTTTTAAATAATATAATATCTATATAAATTTTATTAATAAATAATAAAATTAATTCAAAATATTTATTCGTATATTAAATAATAAATTTTATTTATTATATTAAATTGCCAAATTTATTTTACAATTTTTAAATAAAAAAATAAAATCTGTAATGACTTTTTGAACATAACAACAAAACTTAAAAAATAAAAAAAAATCTAACTGGTTAAAAAATATCAATTAATGACCGGCTATTTTTAACCATAGTGCTATTCTGTTTGAAAGCAAAAGTTTACAACTGACGCGTTTTCTTTATTGCAACTGCACCGCACTGAGGGTGCAGTGCAATCCAAATGGGCATCACATCAAATCCCTGGACCATGCGAGCAATTGTAAAGCAAGCCATCTGCAATGCCAATTAAAGGTGAGTATTGGTTTGAATCGATTAAACGAATTTAATTGATTTGTTTAGTTTTGATTATAATTGATTTTTTAAATAGATTAAATTAATTAATTTTTATTTTTAAAATTAATTATTAAATTGATCAAATTAATTAATTTTTTAATAAATAAAAGTAAAAAATTTAAAATAAGTATTTTTATTTTTTAAAATATTATTAAAATTATTAAATTTTTGAGTAATTTAATTTAAATGGTACTTGAATTTAAGTTTTATTGAATTAAATTTATAATTAAAAAATTATTTATAATAAAATAATAATAATAAAATATAATTATTTAATCAAATCAAATCAATTTTAACCAATTCGATTTCGATTAATTTAATTATTTATTGAATAAAAATCAATTAAATCAATTAAAAAATTTTACAATTAGAACCCACACTCACATTCTCTTTTCAAAACCTTTTAGCTGTCTTTCCTCCTTACCCACCGTTTTTGAATTTAAAGTTGTTTTCTGAATCACGGGATGTTTTTTACATTTTAAAAAATAAAAATAAATTATTAAAAAAATAAATGCAATCATATAAAATATATTTGAAGCCTTTACATTAAACTCTGACAAATCTAACATTGTATCATCGGACCATACACAATTGTTAACAATAAATGCAATATTATTTTCATCAGAATCACAATAAAAGCTTTATCTTATTTGTACCTATGAAAAAGTTTTAAAAGGGGTTGATTTGATAATTCATATATTTATGTGGTATAAAACATTAATAATTTATATATTTGTATTATATTGTACATGTAAATTATATGTTATAATTTTTATTGACACAAAAAATATGAAATATATTCTTTAATTTTTGTTAAAATTTTAAATTTATCATCTTTATTTTTTTATATTATGTTATTATATCATATTTTAAATTGTTAGTTTTAAAAACGAGAAATTCAAATTATTTTATTCCAGCTTAACCCTCATATTCCAGGATTTCTGGCTCTATGGTTGGTGAGGGTTATGGGTGTCATTGATTGCAGCAAAATTCTTAGCTATTGTAGAGGCCTTTCTTGCTTTTCTCTAATTCTAAATGGGTTAGTACGGTCTATTTGATAGTGGAAATGATTCGACAAATGCATTATCAAGTCGGGCTTGCTTCGAACATCATTGAAGTATGTTCAATTAAAATCAAATCTGTACAATTATCCAAAATACAATGGTTTAAAACTTAAAAATTTGGATGGCAGCGAATATATGCTTTGGATTAGGGTAGTATCTTTGTATACTTAAAAAAAAATCAATAAATAATCAGTTCAATTAGTTAAGATTCATGTTTCTCGATAAAAAAATTTTTTGATTTGAGTTTTGTCGATAATCGTTTGTTGAAATTATCTCAAATGCATGATCTGTAATAATTTATTTTAAATTATTAGATACGACATATTTTATTGTGACCTAAAAAATTAAACAATCTATATATCCTCATGTTTTTCTTACCAAAAAAAAAAAAATCTTCTAAGCATTTTCAAAATTAATTGGTGCAAATTAATGAATCCCTTTTCTTATTACAGTGGCCTGAGCAGCACCCAATCCAATCGTCTTCTAAAACCAAGCTTATCACTCAAATCTCAATTTGGGTCATAAAGAACCAGGCCCCAGCCTAGTCTTAGAAACTTCAATGTGAGGTCGGAGATGTGTTGGGTGTTTAAAGTAGCTCACTCTCAGAGATCAAGCAAGCTTACAGAAAACTTGTCAGGAAGTACCATCCGGACGTCTCTCCTCCAGAAGTTAAGGAGGAGAACACAAAGAAATTTATTCAGGTGCAAGAAGCTTATGAGATTGTCTGACCAGGATTTGGGCGAAACAAGTGAGTGGAAGAAACGGTTGGAGTCTCAACTTATAGAATTGGAAAGGAGGAGCATGAACAAGCTGAATGAAAAAAATGACATGTCCTGGGCAGCCAGAATACGCAGGCAAAATGGTACACAAGCATACTGGATATTGACAAGAAATTATGTATTATGATTAGCTGACCTGAAATAATTAACATTTCCTTATCACCCAGGTCAAAGAATAATTGACATGTCATTCCTGTGTTGCAGCTAGCTCTGTTTCTTCTTTACTAAAATCCATAAAACAAAATGGTGAAGAAAGGAACATAAAACATATGCAATTAGATGGGAACAAAATCTTATATGATAAGAGGTATTAGAGTGGTTGAATAAGGGTGAAGCTGAGGACAGACAGGTTTTGCCAAATAGAAAGCTGATTCCAAGGTAATTAGCTTTTTCATCAGCGCATTGACATTGTTATTAATTGAAATATTTTTGGGAACGGAATTTGATGAGTGGATACTCCCTGCTTGTCTCTACTTTGCTAGAATGGTATTATCCCACATTTATTAAATATGAATATTTCACATTTGGCAAAGGCTATCTAACCCCTTTGACTACCAGTATAGCTTTGATCAGTCAACTATGGAAAACTAATATTCTATTTGTCTGATGAGACACTTAACCTCGTCTATTTAATCAGAAAGAAATACTGCATTTGCTGAGTGAAATCATCTTTACCATATTATTTTCTTCTCCGTTGTACGGAAGGAAACAGGTAATATGGTGAAGGCAGAAGTGAAATCATCTTTAACATACCATAATGGTGCTATTAAAAAAGTTTGTAGACTATCCCTTTACATTCCTGAATAAATGTTCAATCTGTTGAGAAGAATAATTCTATGTTCTCCTGTCAAGGGTCTCACTCTTTTCGAATACTCAAAAGAGCCAATCTTATTGGCAAAAAAAATTGCATGATCTCTTCATAAAATGCACCAATCAATACTCAAAACTGTGATTCTGTTCCCCCCAGGACAATGCTTCCACCAAACATTCAACAAAAGAATTTCATAAATTAATCAAAGATTATCAGTAGTCAGAACATCAAGTTTGTATTTGAGCATGAAGCAAATCTTCATACTATGATTCAACCTCATATTCAGGCATCAAATCTAGGCTATTACAGGAAAAAAGAAAAAAGCCATAACATCAGTCAAAGCTATTCAAGTAAACCAGTTGGTTTAAACACAGGAGCTAGAATCTTGTATCAGCCTCATGTTGACGAGAAATTTAAACAATTTGTGTACAGCCCGCGTCTAACCGTAAGTTAGTGACCATTTTAATTCGAAAATCTCATGGAAACACCTTACAAATTGTTGGGTTAAATATCTACTTACATACTATAGCATATCCTCAAAATATCCTTCAATTTTTCTGTTTCTTCTTGGCCTGTTTCTTCTCTGTGTGACACAAATACGAATGGTGATCAAAAACAATAGTCGCAAGAATATGAGGAAGGGGAAGAGAAAAACAGAGGTAAGAAAGAGAAAATTGGTACCTAATTTTCTCTTTGCTTCGGATTTCGCAAAAAACTCTCTCCATTCATCCGTTAGAACAAAAATTGGCTCCTCCTCCTCTTCCTCTTCCTCTTCCTCTCCCTGTCTTTCATACTCTTGTTCTTGCAACACCCTAATTATCAGCCAAAACAAAGAAAACAAACTCTCAGACACGAAATTCTTTACTAAATTCAATTGAAAATTTCAGTAACTGAGCTTTGTAGCGAAAACCCATGTCAGAAATTAAAAAAAAAAAAAATACACGAATGCATCAATTGGGGATATTTGTTTTTTGTTTTTCGAGTCAAAAGAAGAGCAAGAATTGGAGAAACTTACAAGGTACCAGAATGGTGCGCTTCGTTTTGAACAGTCGTGGACTCCAAATTCAAGTGGTTCTGCAAAAGAGGAGGAGCCAAAGTAGGGCTTACGTGGGAATGACAAGTAACGAGGTGGTGGTGGTGGTGGAGAGGGCAGAGGACTGTATGGTGGTGGTGGTGATGGCGACATAGAATCATCGGATGGTGGTGATGGTGGTGGTGATGATAATGATGATGATGATGATGATGAACTGGATAGGGTGGCCTCCATGATTCGCACCGATACGAAGGTTCCATGGGTGTAATCTTCTTCAATTCTTCTCCTTTTTTCACCACCTACTAGGGTTTATGGGTCACCGAGCAAGGGTTTATTATTTTTGAAGAATAACTTTTTTTACTATTCAATCTTGCTAAAGGTTTTACCGTAATTATAACCATAAACTTTTAAAATCAATGAAAAAAAAATTAATTGAAAATTTGAAATAAGAAATTTTGTTATATGGCACTGTTAGTCACAATTAATTTTTCGTTATTATAATTAGATTTTTTATAAAATAACTTAAAAGTTGTTTTAATTGGATTTTTTTTCAAAAAATTTGTACTTTTAAATTAGTTTTGAAAATTTATAATTATAATTACAAAAAAATAAAAACATAATCATAATAAAAGGTCAAAAAAATTTTGGTTAAAATAGTAAAAAATAGTTAATTTTACTATTTTACTTAAATAAATTTTTTATTTTTATTACATTTAAATAAGCTATTGACTTTTAATTTTCATCTAAATAAATCCTTAACATTTAATTTTATACATAAATAAACCTTTAAATTTACTTTATACATAAATAAACATTTAACATAAATTAAAAAATTTTAAACACAAATAAAAAATAAAAAATTATTTAATTACAATAAAAAATTAAAACTTATTTTAAAAATATTACTCGAAAAATAATTATTGAATCAAAATTATTGTTAGCGATGAAGAAAATTACGGACATCATTCATGTAAAATTTTTTTTTTCATATTATTCATTAATCTCAACAAATTTTTTGAAAGAGATTGGAGTTGTAAAATCTAACATATATTTAAAGAAGTAAATTTTTATGCTAATTATATGATTAATCGAACTTTTAATCGAATTAATAATCATTATGTTTTAGTTGACACATTGCATATAGTTATTAAGTTTAGGATAACACAATTTAAGATAATGTTTGATGCATTAGATGATGGATATAATAAAATAATAATCATTTTATATTATATTTAGTCTGTATTTAAAAAAAAAGATAAGATTACAAAAAAATTAATTATTTTTTTGATATAAGATTATTCAATTATTTTTAAGTGAAAATAATTATTTTTTAATTCATAAGATTATATTTATATATCTTATTATATATTTAAAAATTATATCAATGATTAGGGAAGATTTTTTTTTTTTGTTCAAAGGAGGACATAGCCCTTGTAAAGGGGGAAATAATGGAGAAGACTTTAGTTAGAAACCAAGATCTCTATGCCTTTACAAAATTTCCTTAATCATTATACCAAAAGGTAAAGAAAAAAATAATTTTAATTAAATAAATAAATTATTTTATTTTAATTTTTACACGTATTAAATAAAAATAAAATAATATTATTTAATATAATTTTATTTATAATATTATTTTATCATATCATGTTGTGATTAAACTTCATAAAAAAATCTTCCACCTTTTTTGAAAAAAAAAAAACCTTTAAGTTCGGTGGCATTTGAATTGAATGGTTCTGTCAAATTGTCACCAACCATGAAGACTTTGGTGGCCGCATTAGGCAAATCATCAAATGGACATGGAGTTTGTTGTCACAAAACAAAGCAAAGTCCAAGATCCATGAATTTAAAACACCAGACTTTGACGTAAAATCTTTGTGGAAATATCTTGGCCCTGACTCAATCGAAGTCTCGTACCAAATAAGAACTGCACATTGTTATAACTCAAAAAGAAAAACATGGTTGTTGAGAAAACTACTCCGGTGCATTAACACAAGGCATCGATTCGACTTTGATTGAAACCTGACCTCTTCTTCAGTGGTTGAGAAATCGACACAAAATTTTTTAATTTTATTAAATTTGTATATAATTTTTAAATTTTATTATTTATTTTATTTTTATATCATATTTTAAATTATTAAATTTAAATAAATGATAATAAAAACTTGAGAATCTTGATCTCAAAATTTTTAAAATCCTTTATACATATATTAAATAAAATTAAATGATATTTTAAACTAAAATTTGAATATAAACTATCAATAAAAATTTATAACAACTCGAATTTAAATATTTTACATCTAAAATTTAAATTTTAGTAATTTGTGTTGGTTTTTATTACTTATTTATGATGTCAAATTATAATTATTTTACGAAAACTCAAGATACAAAAAGCACTATCATGTTATTTTTAAAAATAATAATTATATAAATTAATTAAATTGATATATATATACTTGTTGGTGGTTAAGATAATTTGTTGCTTTCATTTATATTTTGCTTACCTATTGCTCCATATAGTAAGCAACAATTTGGAGTGATGGTAAAGGCAAAAGATTGAGTAGGAATGAATCCATGCCATTTAAAAGCATTAAAAGCAGCCAAAATCAGCATTGCATTCTATCATTATCATTAAATAATCATCAATCATTCAAAATCTTGATAGTAAGCATGCTGTTTTTGTTGGATGTTTGCTTCCATTTTAGGCCTACCGGTAACTTTTTTTTTTTTTAGTTTTTCTCATCTAGAGCAATCTCTTTTCTTTTTTCTTTTTTTTTTTTATAATGTAACCAATAATTGTTAAATTATAGTAAAATAATTTAGATATTTAAATTTTAAAAATGTTTACTATAATAATTGAATTATAAATTTATTAATTAATATGATATAAAAAATTATTTGATCTTTAAATATTTTTATTTAAAATTAATAACGTTAAAAATAAATACTATATTATTTAATAAATTCATAATTTAAATATTGTATTAAAAATTTTAAAATATACATTAAATATTTTGCTATATTAATAAAAATCATTCATAATATTAAATTTTTTTATATTGAATTAAATCTAATAGTTTTAAATATAATATGAAAACGATACGAAAAAAATTATGTATGAATTTAGTGTAATCGTATTTCATGTATTGATCGTATCAACACGGTTAAGATGCGACATTATTTATATCATATTTATGTTGAACAGTAATGATACGGTTAAGATATAGTATTGTTTATAACATAAAAAATTAAAAATTATTTTAATTTATTTAAAAAATAAATTAATAATCATATTTATCATATTATTTTGGTATTTAAATAATTATAAATATTTAATTTTAAAATAAATTTTTATTTAAATACTAATTTAAATGATATTTTTTGTTTAAATAAAAAAATTAATTATGTTTAATTATATTATTCATATATAATTATATTATTTATATTATTTTAATATAAATTAATTTTAAATATATTAATTATATCATATAATATATAACATATATAATAAATATATCATAATAATATTTAAATTATTCATATCTTTTAAATAATTATATTATATTTATATCATATATAAAATTATATTTGATATAAAATATAATATGATAATACGAAATATTAAATTTACATAAATTTACAAAAAAAAAAAAAAATTGGGCAATGACCATGAAATCATTTTTAGCCAAAATTGGCCCATACCCCTCGAGTGGCTCCAAAAGCCACAATGAGCCTAGAAAGCTATAAAAATAGCATCTCCCTCTGAACATGCAAAGATCCGGTTCGGTTCGGTTGCTGGGTTGGTGAGATGTTCCAACATCTCCTCACCTACCATTTGTTAGTTTGGCCGCATCCATCATTTGACTCGTATCTCAAAATATAAAATATACAGTAGAGATACGATATAAATAAAAATATAAAAATAATATAATTTAAAATTTAATAAAAATTATATAAAAATTAAATTAAATTAAAAATATTTTTATATTTTTATAAATTATAATATATAATTTTTATATAAAATATAATATAAATATATAAAATTTAATATTTTATATTATAAAAAAACACAATCGCCGCATCGAAGACCAACCCACACACTTTTTTTTTTTTACATCACTGTCATTGTGTCCAATGGTCAAAAACCAAACTCTAAATTTTGCCTTAAAATTAATTTTAAAGGTGTCGAAAAACCAAACCATCTCTTTCTCTCTCTCCCGTTCTTCCTCATTGTCTTTTTCCAGGCGTAACAGAGTAGGCTGGGGCTGGCGAGATAGATTTGGCACTCCCCTACAAAGAACAGCTCTTCGTAGTGGGTTCCACCCCTCACTTCCCAAATGTGAAAAAAGAGATTTTGTCATTTTTTTTATTGAAAATTTTAGTATAAAATAGAGGATAAGATCCACACAATTCAAAGACCAAGGGCAACCCTACGTATCCCTTCCCTTCGCCCCCTCCTCTGCCTCGATTTCCTCAGCTTATCTCTAGCTCTGTCTTTATTCGTATCTTTCTTTTATGTTTTTGCATCTGGGTTCGTCGGATATTGCAAGTTTCTTATCAAAAATTGTATTTTGAATTAACATTCTGATTGTCTGGTGGATTTTGGATTGTTTCAAGCTTTGGGTTTTCATTAGTTTATTCTTTAATTTAGATCAAAATAGGTGCTTTTTTTTTTGGGTTCTGTCAATGGGTGCTTTGGATGGAGGCCATTTCTGTGTTGAGCTTGAGAATGGAATGAAGCTGGATGCAAGTGACCTGGGATTGGAGAAAGAGCCAGAGACTATAGTTATTGAGGATGCTGTGAAAGTTCTGTTGCAGGGCTTGGGTGAAGATGTCAACAGAGAAGGTCTTAAAAAAACTCCTTTTCGTGTTGCTAAGGCACTTCGAGAAGGAACAAGAGGTGCTTTTATTATTTTTCTTCCTAAAACTAGCTTTTTCCCCCTTGATTCTTGTTATATATGATAGTAATTACGGTAATTTCTCTAAGATCCGCATGTTTTTATAATATGCTGACCCTGTTGAAGAAGGTTGTTGATTTTTATATTGCTAGAAAATTATCACTATCTTCTATGGTGGTGGGACTGATCTGCACTATGCTCTTTCTTTAGTTTCGTTTCATAATACCCAATCAATAAGCCAAGGTTGTTTTTTCTTCTATTTGGTCCTGTTTCAAGGTCTTGTCAGTTTCGTTAAACCAACAGGCAAATGGTGTTCATGTAATAGTTTACTTTTTTGCTGCATGGGACTTAGCCGGCTAGAAAAAGGCCAAAGTAAACAAATGAAAGGGAAGGATTTTTAAAGTATAAGTATGTTGGGGGTTGATTGATTAAGTATGTTTTGGCTCATCTTGCAAGTTTTGGGCCCCAATACAGACCTTAGTATACAAGATTTTATGCTGTTTGTATGAAGATTTTGAAGCTTGTATAATAAGGTTCTTTTGCCAGTGATTATTTATTTGTGTAAGAACTTGTCTACTTTCCTCTTTATCAGCACTTCTTACACATGAACATATTGTTTGTTCACATACATGTATATGTATTTATATATGTTATCGAAATCTCAGATATTGTGCGAAGTTTTGATCGAGACTTTTCTGTTACATTTTTCAGGTTACAAACAGAAAGTCAAGGATATTGTTCAGGGAGCTTTATTCCCTGAAGTGGGTTTGCATGATGGAGTTGGACATGCCGGAGGAGCAGGTGGGCTTGTGATTGTTCGAGATCTTGACCTGTTCTCATACTGTGAGTCGTGCTTGCTCCCATTTCAGGTTAAGTGTCATGTAGGTTATGTGCCATCTGGTCAGCGGGTTGTAGGATTAAGCAAACTCTCTAGAGTAGCTGATGTTTTTGCAAAACGACTGCAAGACCCACAACGTCTAGCAGATGAAGTATGTTCAGCTCTGCAACATGGAATTAAGCCAGCAGGGGTTGCTGTGATACTCCAGTGTTTGCACATTCATTTTCCAAATCTGGGGTCGGTCTTTCTTGACTCAAAGCATCAAGGATGGATAAAGGTGCTGGTGTCTTCAGGCTCAGGGGTTTTCGAAAATGAAAATGCTGATGTTTGGAGTGATTTTCTGGGTCTTTTGAAATTCAGAGGTGTAACTGTGGAGAAAATTCTAACTAGGGACTCTACGAAACAAAGTTGGTGCCCTTCCTATTCTTCCTCTGTTGCTAAAATTTCCTCTGAGCTTGTAGCACCCAACCCTGGAATGGTTGCTGCAGTAGTTTCAATACTCAGATCTTTGGGTGAAGATCCATTAAGGAAAGAGCTTGTAGAAACTCCTAGCCATTTTGTGAGGTGGTTGATGAACTTTCAGAATACAAAGTTGGAGATGAAGCTAAATGGCTTTGCATGCGGCAGAACAGATCTTCTTAAACCTAGTGGGGAAGTCTGCTCCCACAATAACGAAGAGATGCATTCAGAGTTGAACCTATCATTCTGGTCTCAATGTGAGCATCATCTACTTCCTTTTCATGGTGTTGTCCATATTGGATACTTCTGCCCTGAAGGATTCAATCCCATTGGAAAGTCCCTTTTGCAGTCAATAGTACATTTTTATGGTTTCAAGCTCCAAGTGCAAGAAAGACTCACCAGGCAAATAGCAGAGACAGTTTCACCAATCTTAGGTGGAGATATCATGGTAGTTGTGGAGGCAAATCACACCTGCATGATCTCTAGAGGGATTGAGAAGTTTGGCAGTAACACAGCTACTATTGCTGTGCTTGGTCGATTTTCAACCGATCCTGCTGCTAGGGCTATGTTTTTCCAGAGCATTCCAAAGGTTCCTACATCTGGAATGTTGTAGTCATAACCTGAAGTTCTTTTTCAGAGTTGGATGTTGTCATTCTTTGCCTCAGTTCATGCTTTTTCAGTCTGCAGCAGTGCAGAAAATGGTACAATTTATAGTGTATACTTTCTTCATGGATTACCAAAAGGCAGCCTGGCTATGTTCCGATTGATTATTGGTGGCAGGAATTCCACGCGAAATTGAGAATTTTTTTTGTTCTTACTCTCTGTAGCATAAATCCTCCCAGATAAATTTCAGGGGTGAGCCATTAGTTCCATTATTATTACTTTCTGGTCATACCTTTTTTTTTTATAAATTTCTCCAAATATATATATATATATATATATATATGTATGTGTGTGTGTTAAGATTTAAATTTCTCACTCTTTTATTTTTTATTTTGTTCTCTTATAATCTGCATGGTGAGAAAGTGCTGCAGAAAATACTGCTGAACATCGAGAGTATAATCTTAAACATACATTTCATAAACATTATTTTCAAAAATCCTAATCATCCATGGTATCATCTGCAATTGGTAACGAAACACGATAAACTTTCAGCAACATGACCTCCAAACATCATATTTTTTATTACCAGCAAAAGACATGATGTACACTTACGCCATCATCTGCATTGTTCGAAATAGTGAATGCTTATGAATATAAACATGGCCCATAAGCAACCGCACTTGCAGAATTGTATAAAATTACAGTATCAAGTTTATCTTCATAAACTCAAGGCTCCACTATGATCTTCCCAGTGGCATGGCCATCAATGCTCTTAGCCCAAGCGTCTTCAGCCTTGCTTAGGGGATGCTTTGAATCAATTACTGTCTTAAGGTTTCCTTCTTTCACCAACTTAACAAGATAATCAAGGTTCTCTTTCTTAGGTATCAAAAGCACCGGTTGCAGCTGCTTCTTGGAGAATGTAAGCTTTTTCAGGGCAAAAGTCATGAAAGCACTAAGACCAGGAGTAATATCTATTACCTTCCCATTCCCACTCAAATTAGGCTCAAAGGTAGACCAAGGAGTTTCCACTGCACAGTGGATCACTGCATCATATTTGCGACCAGATGGGCTCTTCAGAGCCGCCCCATCAGGAGTCTTGTAGTCAAGAACCTCATCGGCCCCCAGGCTCTTGACAAAATCCATGTTCCGAGCCCCACAAGTGGCTGTCACATTTGTGTTTCCAAGCTTTGCTAGTTGAACCGCATATTGACCTACGCCACCTGAAGCAGCAGTAATCAGGAGGTTTACTTTCTGGCCGCTTCCATCAAGCTTAACTCCAGCAGACTGGGTAAGTGTCTGGTGAGCTGTGAGGCCAGCAACAGGCAAACCTGCACCTTCAGCAGCTGATACTTGTGGTGGCCTTGCAACTGTCAAACTCTCATTAGCCACAGCAAATTCAGCTAGTCCACCTCCAGTCTGTCATTGTAAAATATATTCATAATAGAATATGGCCGTAGCAAATGACATAAATGATGCTGAATTGCTCATGATAATAGAAAGCAGAAGATAAAAATCACCATATCACTGGCTCACTTTAATAATATCCTCAGAAATGATTGTCACATAGACAAAAGATAGTAAGAAGGCACAAAAAAATATGGGTCTGGGAAAGTTCCTATAGCTTGAACCAACAAATAGCCCATGGAACATCTAACATGCATGCATTTCCCTCAAGCAACAACATCAGCACAAGCAAAACTGGAAAGCCGAATGTTTTCAAAGAAAGGCGTACCATTTAAAGAGATAATCTTTCTATCAATGAGGAAAAGCAAACCACAATAAGCAATATAACAGTATTTCAAATTCTAGGGATGATAGGACACAAAACTTTCATTACTTTGATTCATCCAAACAGGCAAGCAGGGCAATGCCCGGTAGAGTTAACTAAGGTCAGTAAGAAAAGGAAGATTAACAAGGTTCATTTGGAGCAAAAAAGCGAGCACCGGTCCTTGAAAATACTTTATATGGGGTTTATGATTTACTAGTGTTCTTCCATTATTAGATTCTGAAGTGGATCATTTGGCTACAAGGAATTCCCTTTCCTCTTTTTTTTTTTTTTTTTTTCAAGAATATTGAGTTTGCACTAAAGTCCTACCCAACTTCAGCACCAATTAGTTGCTTGGGCTAATACCCAAAAACACAAATGCCACCGAATCTTTATCTACTATGCTAGTATATTGCTAATGCTTCTTCCACTCTTCATGAAGAAATATCCTTTTGTGATTATTCTTAGAATGATTAATAACATGCTACCCCACAACTTGTATCTAAAAATAGCCAGTTGTTCACATTAATACGATATGATATGATAATGTCTCTTTAGTGGAGAGCCTGCTAGATTGGACTTCAGTCCTGTTGAAAATTTTAACAAGAAGAAAAAAAAAAAAAAAACCCCAGAAGAATAAGAATGACTACTTACAGCAGGGCTAAGCATGGCCACAACTTTATCCCCAGCTTTGAAATTCTTGACTCCTGGTCCAACCTTTACGACTTGTCCTGCTACATCAGTGCCTGGTCCAATAAAAGTTCTTTAGCCAATGAATGAAAAGACGCAATCAAGATGTTAGCAGAAAGAAAACTGCAATGGTTACTGCTGATTTAAAGTTAGTACTTTCAATATAATTTGCAAATGATATATGACAGCGAACCAAGTTTGCTTTTGAGATATTAAATCTTTATGCTTTGAAAACACTAATTCCATGACAATGTGATCCCATATATTACTATAACGTAACCACAACTGGTTGACAAAGAGACTAACTAATAATGTCAAATTTGGCATAGTGAGAAAAACCCAGATTTGGAATTGGAAGACAGATGTAACTTGAGAACCTAGCCGATAATGTCGACAGAATGAAAGTTCAAGTATCAAACTGATAATTTTATTTCTTTAAGTCCTAAATTGATGAAAAATATTAACCCAACACAAATACCACTCGCCGAGTAAAATAAAGAGAAAAGCAAAGTACCAGGTATGTGGGGGAATTTGAGAGGTAAAAATGGCCGCAGCATCCCTTTCTGCATTTTCCAGTCAATAGGATTTAGACTTGTTGCCTCCAGTTTTAACAAAAGTTCATCTTGGTTTGGAGTGGGAATCGGAACTTCAACATGCTGCAATGCAACAGGCATAAAATTCACAGTCGTTATGACATCAAATCTCTGTCAATTTTTGAAGTTCAACAGGGCAGGAAAATGCTGGAAATACATTTGCAAAAATATGTTACCACAATTCGCTGTCAATATCTCATACCCTTAAGAGCAAATCCTTAACTATACCATTATTTTCTTTCCATTCAAGAAATTCCAGTATTCTAATGCCTGCCCCTCTTACAAATATCTTGATTCTTTTTATCAAAATTTATTACTAATTGGATGATGAAAATTAAGAAGATAAATGGTAATGAAAGAAAAAGCAAGCAAGCAAAAGACTGTAACACTCGATCAGAATCGAGTAGATTACCTTCAAACCGGCAGCTCCTCCGCCATAACTAACATATTGAACGGCATGCATCAGATTCTCTGCCATTTTTGTCTTTTGTGAGAGGAGATAAAACTGAAGCTGTGTTTTAAGACTTGAGTAACTTAAAACTTGGAATGAGAGTAACCATGCAAATGGAGTCCACATGGATAAATTGACGGACATACCCCTATTCCAACAATTTCGGAGGAAATCTCTGGATACGAAACAATGGAAGGTTTTATGTTTGCCACGTGGCTGATTCCTTTCTTTTAACTTGGCCGGATGGTAGGAGATCAGAGGAAATGCAGAATCTAAGATCGTCGTAGTAGGTAATTTGCCAGTCATAATTTAATTTAATTTAAAATTTTCATTTCTTCCTTCAGCCATCTTTAAGGATATTTAGCAGATTTTGAGATTCTTCGAGTCTCCGGCAATCCAATCTTAATGCCTGTAATTTTTTTTTAAAATTTTTTTAGTTATGGCTTTTTCATATAAAAAAAATTTCATTTGGCAAACACAAAAAATGATATATTAAAATTTAACAAATATAATATAAAAAACTTACGAGTACGAGAAGATTGAGATGATATATATATATATATATATATATATTGATTAATGGAGTACAAACCACATGGAAAACAAGTAAAATGATCTCACTAACTGGTTATTGCTCCACCATTGCATTTGAGAGACAGTAGAAAAGTTTTATACTGTACATTATTTTGTAATACCAACTTATAATTATACAAAGTGAATTGCTGGGTTCTTGCAAACTAAAGCAATGAAGCAGAAAGTCTTAACTCCTCTGTACAAAGAGACTTTACTTAACTGCTATAACTTCCCCTTGTCCCTAATCAGTTGTCCTTTAGCTTATAAATGGTGTCAACATATTCTTCTATGTCCCAAAGGAAAGAACCAAAGGCAATTGCTTCTAAAACTAACCTCTTCAGGCTTGAAAAAGAAGTCAGAATCACCTCACCTGTCTCCAGCTTACCTGTTTGCTCATCCCCAAAGAGTGCATAGCTGTGTTTCTCGATCAAATTTACAGCCTCTTTTGATTTCAGTTTGGCACACCTCTGCAATGTCTCAGGATCAAATCGCATCACATAACACCTTAATTCTTCAAGATTCTTTCTCTGTGTACCTGAACCTTGACCTAACGAAATGGATTGCATGTCACTAACATGGCCAAATACCAGACTCCTAAATCTGCAATGCAAAAGATCTAGAAACTGAAGAGAGTTCATATGACTCAGATAGTCTTGATAAGCCAAAGTTAGGCATCGTTCCAGTTGGTGTCTAGAGGCAGCAGACTTTAGAAATAACCATACAAGATGGAGGCTGCATAAAGTCGCCCTAGATGGAGCCGCTGGATCTCAGTAGTAGCCCAATTGTCAGTGACACTGGAGTTTGCCCTCAAGCCAATAACAGTACTGACACGTTCCCTAACCATCTCCAAAACCTCAACGCTATGGATGGACTCTAGCTCCCAATCTTTTGAAGGCCATATCTCAAGTCTACCATTGTAAATGCACCTGGAGAGCCTTGGAACCAATGGTACTCTGATTTCAGAGAATTTGTAGAAGATTAACATATACATGACATCTTCCACAGCAGCTTGGCAGTCGTTCTCTTTCAGTTAAGCAATCCTTCTGGCATTTAGGAAAATCTAATTATGTCAAAAGAAGAAAAAAAACTAAAGAGATTATTATATTAAACATCCATAGAGTCAAGGATCCAACATACAAAATTAGAGGTATTCCAATGGCAGCTCATTTATTAGAGTGATAATATTGCCAGATAAAACAACACGTACTTCATTGGTGGTTAATACTATTACCACCATCGCCTGGGTGCATCGTAAAATGTATCAAGCCAGGGATTTGCAGAGCTCCATTCCAGCAGAAGACAATGCCATCATGCCAGAAAGTCTAATTGATATCACTATAAAACATAAAATACAATAAACTTCTTTTCTAATCCAAGCCAACAGAAGAGTTCTACAAACAAACAAGTACAAACAAGTTAACTTATGATCACAGTATGAGCTTTAAAGGAAAAAAAAAAAAGATATACCAATTGCTAATAAAATGATTATGGGAAGAAAGAAGAAATCAGCAATAGTCTAAATAGCACTCCAAAGTTCAGATGAATCATTATATAATCAAAATTATTTATTGCACTCTGTACTCAACAAGAATAGAAACAGGGGAAGCAGTAACCAGTAAGCATGTAACCAACACTTTCACGTACTTCCATTATATTATTGGACAATGTTTAATTGCATTAGAGTTAAGGGAACTTAACACTTGTTGAAACCCATTAGTAGTGTGCCTTTGTGAAACTTCTATGAAATGAGCAGTTTTTATCTGTTTATAAATATGAGTAAGTTTCTCAAGTTCTTCATAGCTTAAAATTGCAAATGAAATAGAATGACCTCAGCTAATGGAACAAGGCAAAGAATTAAAAAGTTAGCTTCAATAGTTAATTTGTTCAGCCTTGGGACTCATAACAGAATGAAAAAAGCCTGTTTGCGCCTTGGCAAAGATGAGACAACCAGTGTTTGTGATTTTCACATCACATAGGAGTGACTTTCAGCAGCCTTATCTGAATATGAAATGTGGCATTGCTTCATCTTTGCCAAGTAACTTTGCTTCAACTAGAGCATTAGTTGGGAATATTTAAGTAGGAACATATCCTCATGCATTGTGGAAAGAAAATACATGTCTTCTTTAGTAGCCAAGTATTACAACAGATAGAAGTCGATAAGCATGGTGGATATCCACAAAAAATGACTGCAAAACAAATGAAAAAATTTGAAAAAGTTAAGCATTTTAAATGGATTCACAAATTCCCAAAGACATGAGTTGCAATGCCAACCAAGAGATAAAGCCAAATACCATATGTAACACCAATATGACCCTAGAAAATTTTTGGTCAAACAACTTTTCTTAAACAAAAGGCTTAGCATAGCCTTAGAATCAGTTAATCTACAAAGTATTATGGACAATGACATCTATAAAGCACAAAGCCATACAAGAGACTCATATATCTGATCCTTCTTCTACCAAAATTTAATATCATGACTGATCCATATTAATGACCTTGAAGTCCATGCAATTTTCATGAGTTTCTTCTCAGATTGTAAGTAACCAAAAGAACCCATGAATCAAAAGAGACTTCTATTTGGTAGATCAAGTGTACAAATGATAATAACAAGTCATACTATTCATATAATTCGATTTCAATTCAATTCAAAATATTCTTGGATTGACATCCCAAGGTCTAAGGTATTTGAACTTGGTTGAAATCAATTTGGCATCACTGTAAAATCAAAGCTGGCTTTTTTCCACACATGGTCTATTAAACTAGACCCATCACATAATAAAACCTCTATTCCACCAAAACAAACATGCCAATCATCATTAGAACAAAATTAAAGCTTCCCAAGTCACAACTTATCAACATAAACAAACCCTTTAAAGAACAGATAAAAATTACAGAATTTTTTAGTATATACTAAAAAAACCAACTGTTACACAAACCTGTGGAGACAGGCTTCATCAGAATCCGAGCTGAGAATCATACGAGTTACAGCGGCGTCACGATCACCAGCGAGTTGTTTAAGTTCATCGGCGGCTGCGAAGTGGAAGAACTGTCGTTGGTTCTGAAGAACACTGCTTAAGAACTTCCCCGAAGCTGACCTTGGCTCAAGCGGCACGTTCAGGCTGCCAAAGTCGCAGTGGCTAGCGCCGGCGCTCGCTTTCACCGATGGTACCTTCCGACTATTGAAAGCAGTAGAAGTAAAGCCAGCCTCGAGTGGTCTCCGGTGAGTAAAACTGAAGTTGGGAGGTGAATTACGAGAGGTAAATACGCGGCACTCCTGGGAATTTTTTACCGCGGATGGTAAAAAACATGACAGAGAAGGGGCTTTGTGGAGGCAGAGGCTATGGTCCATCAACTGTGAAGGGGAATCCCAGAGAGAATATGCAGAAATTGAGGGAGAGGCTTATAGTTTTATGGCTTTTATGTTTGGTTATTAGCTTGAAAAATGCTATTTGGATAAGGTTTTGATGATTTTTTTTTAACGTCGTAATTATGAATTTGTATTTTGAAAAATATTAAAAATTTATATATTTATATCAAATTTTATATAAAAATTATATGTTAATTTTTTATGATATAAAAATATAAAATATATTTTTTATTTTATTAAATATATTTATAATTTTTATTAAAATTTTAAATCATATTATTTTTATATATTTTATTCATATTAATTTTATGTTAGTGGTATTGTCTCATATTTGCAATTATCTTTTTTTTTTTTAACTAAAAAACCAAATTTTGTTAGAGAGAAAAAAAAAATAAAAGGAGAAATTGTTCTTAAAATGGATGCAAAGTTCGTACAACATGCCACGTGGAGAAAAGGGATTGGAAGAACAAAAGAACAAGGTTCAATGAACTTTTGCGGTTTTGGGCACGGAGGGGGTGGGTTCAATGAGCTTCGATTTATGCTTTTTATGGAAGTGATAAAATAAAGAGGGAATTGCAGGGAAAGGAGAAAAAATTAAGAGGGCATTATCAAGATATTAGTTGAGCAAATATTGGAATAGATTTCAAGATTGAGCATATCAAATGTCTTTTGATAGAGATAATAATAGACAATAAATAAATATTTGTCATTATTTGATTTGTTTATATTAAAATTTAATAATTAAAAATAAAAATTAATAAATTTAAATAAAAAATTTATTATTCGTGATAGATTTAAAGTGAATGCAAATAATATTTTTAAAATATATAATATTTAAATATATTTACATTTTAATGAATAACAATAAATATTTAAATTTCGTATTTAAATTTGTTATCTACTTACATACGTAAAGTATATAAAATTTTATATTTGTAAAAAGTTTTGAACCTTAAAAATAAAATTTTTTTATTATTAATTAAGAGTAATTTTAAATTTTAAATTAAATTTTTGTTTATTTTATATTTTAACAAAAAATTAAATTAACATATTCAGATATTTAAATAGATTATACTTATTTAAAAGGATTTTAATTTTGATAATAATATTAAATTTAAACGAATTAAGATATTATAAATATCAAATAAATTTAAATATTGATATGTAAAAAATAACGAATATTTGTTTCATTGTCATTTTTACTTTTAATTCATGTGTAATTTTATATTAATATGACAAATTTTATCCTTAAAATAAATTTTACATGATAATATGTAATTTATTGATTGTAAATTATTTTATAACATGCAATTTTATGTTTAATATATTACTATTTTAACAATAAATTTAAAAAATAAAAAAAAAATGGCGAGGGAACTATTGGACGACTAAAACGGGCCGTAACATAAAAATAAGGCCTCCAAAGAATCGAAGAAGAAGCCTATTTCAGCCCATTACAATCGTCTCTTCACTCATGTTTGTTTATAATGATCGAAACCCTAAAATTTATGCAGAGAAAGTCCAGAGATAGTGAGACAAAATGAGTTTCGATTGCTTGTTGAAGGTGGCTCCGATTCTGCTTCTGCTGGTCCTTTTCACATTTGGTAGGTTTCTTATCGGATCAATTTTTCGATAATCAATTGTACGGTCTCACAATTTCCAGATCTGATCAATTGCTAAAACGATCTCCATCTTTTTTAAATATTTGTGAACAATTTTAGTTATCGATTTCATTTTTTTTGCACTTAAATTCTTCAGCGTCTGCCAAGAAGTCTGCTGATGTGACTGAGCTTCAGATCGGCGTCAAGGTATTTTTACTTATCATATCTTTTTTCCTTTCTTTTTTCCCCCTTATTCAAAGTGTTATAGTAATTTGATCTGAGATAAATCAAACCCTGTAAAATGTATCTATAATTAGCTTTAGCATGACATATTGTTGTTTGGAGAATTTTATGGTCGCCGTTGTAGTAATTGTTTTTTTTCATTCTTAATGGCCATGGTTTCTTTAGTAGGGTTGTTCATTCAGTCAGTTCAGTTAATTTCAAACCGAGTTATACAAAACCGAATTAGCTGAATTATATTATTTTATTTTTGTTCCCTTTTTCCTTGTTTGTGATCTTACTATATATTTATTTCTCACTTTTGTTTTATATGTTCCTTTTGTATTCACAGCATAAGCCCAAATCATGCGACATTCAAGCTCATAAAGGTGATAGAATCAAAGTGCACTATAGGGTATGTTTCAGCTGGATGTTATGTTTTGTAATATATTGCTTGACCCTCAAAAGTAAATGATGAATATTTGATTGTTTATATTGCTATATGTCAACTGGTTTCAACATCTCGAGCATGTTCCCTTGTTTGATTTTGAAAAGTGGAATTTGGTCTAGTTTTCTTTTTAAATTTCATGGTAAACGGCCATCAACGTGGATAGTTTTTTGGGCATTACTTATTGTGACTTATAGCTGTTTCTAATATCCTTTTGCTTATGCCTAGGGATGTAAACAAACAGAACCTTTGACGAACAATTCGTAAATATGTTTGGTTTCTGTTCATTTATATTTGTTTTTTAAGCTTAACAAACGATCACAAACAACATTTTAAGGTTTGTTACTTAAATGAATAGATCGCGAATATAGCAAAGTTTGTTTGTGAATACTAACAGAGCGTTCGATAAACAGTTTATGAACATATTCCGTTTCTGTTCATTTATGTTCGTTTATTAAACTTAACAAATGATTACAAACAACATTCATGGTTTGTTAAGTAAATGAATAGATCATTAACATAGCCATGTTCTTTCATATTCAGTTCGTTTATACCTCTACTTATGCCATTATTCCAATTTTTAATTCATTTTATTTCTCTCATTAGAAGAGGGTTAAAGAAAAAAAGAAATTGATTACTCGTGAAATTTGTGGTTAAGAATATATTGCCCTCAAATTTAATGGTTAGAATTAATTGTATGCTACTAATACCAATGAGTTTCTTGGTTTACATAAATTGTCATTCCTTTTTGCAGGGAAAACTCACCGATGGAACTGTTTTCGATTCCAGTTTTGAAAGGGGTGATCCCATTGAGTTTGAGCTTGGTAGCGGTCAAGTAATCAAAGGTTTGTTCCCCCTAGCAACCACTCACACCTTTTGGCTAAAACTCATACAATGATTCATTTTCTTGATGACTGGATTCTTGGTTGTTATATTGCAAGAAGTTCATTGATGCTTGAAAAAAATATGTTCCTTGCAGGATGGGACCAAGGGCTACTTGGGATGTGTGTCGGTGAGAAGCGCAAGTTAAAAATACCTGCAAAGCTTGGTTATGGTGCACAGGGTTCGCCACCCACCATCCCAGGTAATTGAAGGAATGATGCTATTATGACCAAATCTTTTGCTTTAGCTGCTTCGCTTGTTTTGTCCAGAAAATATGAGAAATTTATGGTTTTGCCAAACTTTCAGGTGGAGCAACACTAATATTTGATACTGAGCTTGTTGCAGTCAATGGGAAGCCATCAAGTGGAGGGGATACAAGCGAAGATGAGCTATAGTCGGTCACTAGTCAGAGAATCAGCTGCTTTTTTTTTTTTTTTATACGTTTGTTTTCCTTTTACAAAAGGCGATGGCAACCTCACAGGGCTTGTGGCTGGGATTTAGAAAAATATATTCTGGTAGCTTTTTTTAAAGCAAAATTTATGAGATGCTAGAAGATAGCCATCTCCAGTTAATCCAAAATTATATTTAAGTGACATTTTCATGAATTTTATCATTATATTTTTTATTTTGTTGATTTTTAAACAAAAATTAGAATTTAATAGAAATTTTTGTTCATATAAGCTAAATATTCAGTAAAATATTTTAATTATGTTATTTTTATTTAAAATTAATAAAATGAAAATAGAATAAAAATTTTTTAAAATTAAAATGTAATAGTAATAGAATTTAATTAAATTTAATCAGTTGCGTTTTGGTAATGATTCATTAAATATAAAATTTAAAATATATATTTTTATTTTTATTAAATTCTTTTATTGTTTTGTTAAAATTTTAATGTTTGTCAAAATTTTAAATCATATAAATTTTACTGTTTTTGTGTGATGTTATCGCATTTAATAAAATTTTTATTGTTTTCGAATTGTTGTGTTAGTGTAAATTTTAATATTAAATATAGTAAGTAATGAGAAATTTAATGCAATCTTACTATGTCTAAATTTAATAAATAATAATATAATGAGCAATGACAAATTTAATGCAATCGTTAACCAAGAAAGAAAACATAAAACACAAGATGAAAGAAAATAAAAAATAAAAATTTTAAATTAGGGAATGGAAACTGTGGGAGCATCCCGACCCTTCAAAAACAATCAATCAACTGCGATATGTTGGTTGATCTCTTCTCTAGTTTCTCCCTAACCCTCCTTTTTTGGAAGCCTCTAGAAGCCAAAACCCCCATCACTTCGCCATAAAAGGCCCTCTCTGTCTAGTTGTCTTTGATTTCCCTTCTTCGATTCTCAAAGCTTCTCAACAACGCTCGTTTCTTCGTTTCTAACGCGCTCACTTTCACTATCTCTCTAGATTCTTCGATTCGAGATGGATGAGGATTTCGATGTTCCGGCGGCGGAGGATTTGATGAACGATGACATGGATCTTCCCGACGAGACTCCCATTTTGAAAGTCGGAGAAGAAAAGGAGATCGGAAAGCAAGGCTTGAAGAAGAAGCTTGTTAAGGAAGGGGAAGGTTGGGACAAGCCTGAAATCGGCGACGAAGTTGAAGGTATAACTTATACTATAAACAAGGAAATAAAAATAAAAATAAAAGAATTTTCCTGTTTTGAAAATATTTTGGATTCTGATTGGTTGTTGTTGTTGTTGCAGTTCATTATACGGGGACGTTGCTTGATGGAACTCAGTTCGATTCGAGCCGTGAAAGAGGGACTCCTTTCAAGTTCACTCTCGGTCAAGGTAACGAAGACCGTCTCTTTCTCTTTTGGAAAGTTCTTAGAGCAATTTTTCGGGTGTAAATCGAATTTGAAGGAAAATGATGAGCTTATTCTGTAAAGTATAAGTTTGATTTTAGTGTTTTACACTGTTAATAGACATAAATTCAAAGCAGTGTTTATAAATAATATGCTTTTTTATTTTGACTTATTAATTAACTTAATTTTGTTTCTTTTGCTGGAAATGCATTAAAATTTTGGAATTTATATGAAAACCATGGGGAGTTTCTCAAATAAAACTTGTGTTCCTGCTGTTCAAATTTTTACCTATGAATACGTTTTTTGAACTTGCTATATTTGGAATGTAATAAAGGCATTTCTTTGAATCTTGGTGATTTGTTTCGTGTGTATACTATTTATACCTCTTCATTCCTTTTTATGGTATTTAATTTGGTCTATTCAATGAATTTTTGTCTTTTGATGATAATATATTATGGCTGATTGAGGGGCAAGATATCTGTTAAGTTCAAGATGTGCCAAAGCATGAAGAGGATGTGCCATTTTAGTCCTTTTTTTGTTAAGTATGGTATTGGACTTTTAGTGATCTTCTTGTTGAAGTGAGAAACTGTGATGAAGTGGCATTACGCCTTAATATGAAATTTCTGCTTTCTTCTTATGATTGCAGGGCAAGTTATTAAAGGATGGGACGAAGGAATTAAGACAATGAAGAAAGGTGAAAATGCTATTTTTACCATTCCTCCTGACCTGGCATATGGTGAGTCTGGCTCACCACCAACCATTCCTCCTAAGGCAACCCTCCAGTTTGATGTCGAATTGCTATCTTGGACAAGTGTCAAGGACATTTGTAAAGATGGGGGGATATTTAAGAAGATACTTACCAAAGGGGACAAATGGGAGAACCCAAAGGACCTCGATGAAGTGCTAGGTACATTCATATTCTGTTCCTTCTTTTAATATTTATTATAAAAATAAAAATTTTCTATCATTGGGAGGTACTGTTTGATTGAGCTAGGTTTAATACTGGGTTTGTATCTCAAATGCAGTTAACTATGAAGCGAAGCTTGAGGATGGCACAGTTGTGGCAAAAGATGATGGTGTGGAGTTCACTGTTAAGGCTGGTTTGTGTCGTGGATGCCCTTTTTCTACATTTTATTTCCCCGCTAATTTATGATCTCTAATTCCTAAATACTAGTGGTTGCTTCTTCCTCTGTGAACAGGTCACTTATGTCCTGCATTTGCAAAAGCCATTAAGACAATGAAGAAAGGGGAGAAGGCACTTCTTACAGTTAAGCCACAATGTAAGTTATTTTCTCATTATTCTCTTAGCATGAAAGTGGATATGCTTGGCTCTTTCCCTGATGTTGTGACCTATTTTACTATGATAAAGATGGCTTTGGTGAGAAGGGGAAGCTAGCCACTGGTGCTGAAGGTGCAGTGCCTCCAAATGCCACACTTCACATTACCCTAGAGTTAGTTTCGTGGAAAACTGTGACTGAGGTCACTGATGACATGAAGGTTATAAAAAAGATCTTGAAGGAAGGGGAGGGATATGAGCACCCAAATGAGGGGGCTGTCGTCCAAGGTTCGTGTTAAGTTATGAAAAAAGAAATTTCAGTTTTCCCCAATACAACACACTGCAAATGTCTTATTTAATATTTATATCTTTATATACCTTTTGGCAGTGAAATTGATTGGGAAATTGCAAGATGGTACTGTCTTCTTGAAGAAGGGTCACAATGAAGGAGAAGAGTTGTTTGAGTTCAAGACAGATGAAGGTAACAGAAGTCTCCATTCCTCTCACTGCTCTCTTGACTCCAGTTTCATGATTTTAGCTAAGCTGCCTTGCTTAAATTTTTGTGACAGAGCAAGTCATTGATGGTCTTGATAGAGCTGTGATGAAGATGAAAAAGGGTGAAGTAGCACAGCTGACTATTGCACCTGAGTATGCTTTTGGGTCGTCTGAGTCACACCAGGAGTTGGCTTTGGTACCCCCTAACTCAACTTTATACTACGAAGTTGAGTTGGTATCATTTGTCAAGGTAAATGGATCAGCTTGCTTGTATGATTTTAAGTTCTTTGTTGTGTATATGTAAGATATCTATTTGGGAATATGTTAAAAGTGGTTTTGGTGATTTGCTTTTTCAGGAAAAAGAATCATGGGATATGAGCAACCAAGAAAAGATTGAAGCTGCTGGTAAAAAGAAGGAAGAAGGAAATGTATTGTTCAAGGCTGGTAAATATGTGAGAGCTTCTGAGAGATATGAGAAGGTATGCATTGCAATGCATATATTGGCTTGTGAAAGTTTCAGTTTCTGCTTTATTATACATTGTATTTTATCGGTGATTGTATATGCAGGCTGTTAAGTATATTGAGTATGATTCTTCCTTTGGTGAAGAGGAGAAAAAGCAGTCTAAGGCATTGAAGGTCGCTTGCAATCTGAACAATGCTGCTTGCAAATTGAAACTGAAGGATTACAAGCAGGCTGAGAAATTGTGCACCAAGGTTGGAATAACTGCATTCATAATATAGAGCTAGATCTTGTAGCAATGTTAACCGTTGCATGTAATGAACATGCAGGCTTTAGAATTAGAAAGTGCAAATGTGAAAGCCCTCTATAGAAGGGCTCAAGCATACATCCATCTGGCAGATTTGGATTTGGCAGAGTTTGATATTAAGAAAGCTCTTGAGCTTGATCCTGATAACAGGTAATTTGCCTTAATTAGCAAATGCTCTCGCTTCTTGATCTCTTATCTGTTGAACTCAACTGTTAAACAAATAAATTGTTTGTTCCAGTTTGGCATAGGTCAATGTCGTATATAATGACGTGTTTACTGTTGTTTGGTATCAGGGAGGTTAAGCTCGAATACAAGGTTTTGAAAGAGAAGATCAAGGAATATAACAAGAAGGAAGCCAAATTTTATGGTAACATGTTTGCCAAGATGAATAAAATGGAGTCTGTTGATTCTAGTGTAAGTATTTAATCGCTCGAACAATCCAGGAACTAGTTGGGCTTTCTCTATAGCATTCGATGGGTTTGATTGTTCATGCTTCATGGAGTAATTGATTGTTATTGTTTTCTTTGATTTGGCAGAAATCAGCCGGTGAGGAACCGGAACCAATGAGCATAGATAGCAAGGCGTAGGTGGAGATCGGGTGGGGGAGATAATGCCTAGTTTTTATGCTTCAACTACTTTGATTCTATTTATCGGACAACTTATCTTTGGCACAAGAGAACTTGAGTTGTTGTAATGGATTCTAATGTGTCTGAACTATTTTGATTATATGCCCAAAGATTGAAAATTTTATAATCAACCTACTCCGTGCTTCATCAAATGCACGATTATGGTTATAGTTTGGATGGATGAACATTAATTTTTGTTGCAAGAATTATTGTATTAGTACTCTTTTAAGTTATAAGTCATAATTAGTAGTATCTTTTTTTCAAGTGTGTTGTATTTTCATTAACATGTTAAGTTTGTTCTTGCACAAAATATTAACATAAAATTTATTAGATTTAACATCAATGTGAAAATAAAAATTCTAAAATTAAAGTTTAATGTAAAGTTGAACTCATTTTTCTTTATCAAATAAAATTTTTTTAATGAATTTAAAGGAAATCTTTCAATAAATAACTTATTAATTTGTGTCAATAATTTTTTAAAAATATTCTTAGTTTGCATACTATTTTTTTTAATTATTAACTTTTGTTATTACGAATCTATAGCAAAATGACTTGCTGCTCTTACATTTAATAAAATAATAAAAAATTCTAAATTTATATTTTTCATAAGTATATATACATAAAAACATATATTAGAAAATGACAAATTTACCTTAATTTGGTTAGTTTAGGGTTCCAACTTACCAAAAAGCCAGCGTATAAATAAGACAGAAATAGGGATATAGCAGGTGCTGTGCCTGTGAGCGTGAAACGAAAGAGAGCAGGTGAATCTGTACCTTGCGCCGCTCAGCCAACATGGGTACTTTGTCACTTGGATCTTTACCTTCTCCATTTTCTCACCATCCAAACACTCTAAACTTGTATCTCGCTTTTGATATTTTCTTCTCTTCGATCTTCTCTTACTCTATCTCTTCAATATGTGCTTTTTTCTATCTTTTTCTCAGGTATTTCCAGGGATTCTATGCACAAGAGACGTGCCACTGGTGGCAAGAAGAAAGCTTGGAGGAAGAAGCGAAAGTAATTCTACATTTTCACTTTACCCATTTTTTCTATTCATTTCTTTTCTTATTTCCGTTGGTTTTTTGATTGATTTGTTTACTCTCTTTTCTTTTTTTTTTTGTAAATCTGCTAATGAGCTGTGGGTTGGAATTTCCTATTCTTAAACTTTGTCCAAAATGGGATAAGATGGATGAAATCTTCACAGTTGTTTTCTTTTAGTGGAATCGATCTATTCAAAAAAAATTTTTCGTTGATGTTATATATCGGGTGGGATTCACGTATGTAGAAGAGATATGGAAGTTTTAGGTTCAATTCCTTTCTAGCAAGCATATAAAGAGCATTTTCATGGATGGGTTACAAAGTCTAATTTGTGAGATTTATTTCTAAATGATAGAGCTAGGCTTGGTTGCTTGCCCTTTCTGGTGGGATTGGGGTGGGTCTTGGGTTCATGTCTTGCTTAGCGCGAATGTGATTCTTTTTGCTGTGTAAAATTTGAACCTAAGACATTCCTCTTTGGGGTATTAAATGGCATTTTATGTCGTCTGATGCTATGTGGATGTGAAACAGACAGGCCATCAACAATTACATATGACTCTTAATCCAATTTGGATATATATATTTATATACATGGAAGATCGATGTTTTTGTCCTGGGTGTTGCTGTGATTGTCATGGACTGTTTTGTGTTTCAACTCTTGTCTGTATATAATCTGAGAACCAAGATGTCTGTTGTTTGAGGTTGTTGGGGAGTTCTTTCGGGATGAATTCTTTTGGGAATAGATCCATTGAATTTCCAGTTTGTTGGTCTGCTTTTATCAATAAGTTGTTAGTCTCATGTTTGTGGCTGTTTTTGAAAGGTATGAACTTGGTCGTCAGCCTGCAAATACTAAGCTCTCAAGCAACAAGACGGTTAGGAGAATCCGTGTTAGAGGAGGAAATGTGAAGTGGAGAGCATTGAGATTGGATACAGGCAACTATTCATGGGGTAGTGAAGCTGTCACCCGTAAGACCCGTATTCTTGATGTGGTGTATAATGCCTCAAACAATGAGCTTGTCAGGACACAGACTCTTGTAAAGAGCGCCATTGTTCAAGTGGATGCTGCTCCCTTCAAGCAATGGTACCTTCAGCACTATGGTGTTGATATTGGGAGGAAGAAGAAGACAGCAGCTAAGAAGGAAGCTACAGAGGTAGAATGTTTAAAATTTATTTATTTTCTTTCTGAAAAGTATTTTTTTGGATGCAGTTAACTTTCAAACATGATAATGCCCCGCATAAGATTGTTTTAAAATTTCATTGTTTTAATATTTCATGCTTAGAAATATTTGTTTGTCACTTAGCTTGTCTCTGTGCAAAGTGTATGTACTATTCGCAAAAGTTTAATTTTGCATTTAATAGTCTTATTAAATTGTTTTCTCTTATATCCCTTTTGAAAAACTGATAGAGTGTTGGTGTTTTAATTTAGAGTATGGTGAGAGTATGTGGTCCTTAATTTTTGGTGTGCAAGCTTGCACTACTAAGATCCTTCAGTTGATGTAATTCTTGTGCCTGGTTTTGATTTGATCTTTACTGTTTCTGCATCATAAAACTGTCAGGAAGGAGAAGGTGCTGCCGAGGAAACTAAGAAGAGTAATCATGTGCTAAGGAAGCTTGAGAAGCGCCAGAAAGATCGTAAACTTGATGCTCACATTGAAGAACAATTTGGTGCCGGTAGGTTGTTGGCATGCATTTCGTCCCGGCCAGGTCAATGTGGCAGAGCTGATGGGTAAGTCTGGTGTCCAAGGTCTTTGTTGTCTCTATCATTTTAATGCTATTCTTTTATATTATCTTATTCAATTTATATTATTTATAGATACATATTGGAGGGTAAAGAACTTGAGTTCTATATGAAGAAAATCCAGAGGAAGAAGGGCAAGGGTGCTGGAGCTGCTTAGATGCAGTATTTCACATATCCTACTCTCACCAATGTTGTTCTTTAGATTTTGTTCCTTTTATGGGTACCTTGAAAGCATTTTTAATGTGAAACATTTTACTCTTTTGCTGTTAAATTTGTGCATTTTTTTAAAATCGAAAGTTGAACATTATTTTCTTTGGCGTTATCCCCTACATCTGAAGAATTTGATTGGATTGTTTCACTTTAGCATATTTCGCTTGCCAGCTTCTTATTTAGTTTGTATTGTGTCGAATGGATACATGGGTCGAAAAAGACAGATTTCAAGTTGTGATAAGATTGACTAAAGTTGTGTTTGGGAAAATGAATTTGATTGCATATTTGAATGTGGGTAGGAGAAATTTCCTTTTTTTTTTTTTTAAATAATTGGAAAAAAAATATTTTACATGGGAGGAAATAAGAGAAAATGTATAGTACTAATTTGGTTTTGAAAGACTACAATGGGCATACATCATCTATAATTATTCTGTTACAAATCAATCACATTTCCTAATTGAACAGGGTTATAAAAATTTAGTTGACAAAATATATGAAGACAATTGCTGGCTTGGTGCTGGAACCGTCTGTAATCCGTCAATTGGCTTTGAAATCCAACGTTTTGTTGTAATGAAAATACACCAGAACTCAGGCATGGAAATATCTGTTAAATTTTGATTAATAAGAATGGAACACCATCAATCAATTCTCAAAACTTGACATATATGGTAATGGTACACAATCTGTCTAACAAAATTAAAGAATAACGCCAATGACGCTTGTCTTGCTTCTCAATTGTACAATGTATTATAACACAAAATAAATCCGCGGGACGGAATTCCATCCTCCCACCCCTAGTTTTGAAGGTTCTCTTTAGATTTAACCAATGGCATGTCGCTTGGCAACCATAAAATATGTTATGGTAGTCCAATTAAGTATATAAATAGACCAGAAACACATACCATGCACAAACGAATGATCTGCTTCGAGCCACAGATCGGCTATCCAACACACAGCAATTGATTCAAAGCTAGGTCAGTGTGACCTGTATTTCAACTGAAACTCTCCCGGATAGTGTACGAACGGTTAACTCACCTGTTCTCCTATCAAATCGAGACCAACCACAAGGAAACTGATCCCTTGAAATAGTAGGAAGTAGAAGTGAATTCCTTGGGCTGACAACAAGCTTCTCACGGAGGCAGTTAACAAGATAAAAGCAAGTGCAAGTTCCTTCCTGTAGACACGATTTCTTCTGGTTTTTACGTTTTTCTTGGTTACTTCTAGTTTGCTAAGCTCTTCAAGGCCAGAATCTGAGGATGACCTGAGGAGACTAGTAGCTTCAACTAAAGTATCTGATTCCTTTTCATAGGCAACAAGATCGGTCTCTGATGATCTCCCCAACTTTTTGGTAACTACCCATTCGTAAGAACTTCCAAACCGAAACAGTCCTGATATCATGGCATTGAACTTTGTCACTGACATTGTGTTTTCAAATAGAAGGTATGGGACTATGAAAGGGAACGATCGTGGTGCTGGAATGATATTCAACATAGACATAATTCCAGGGATATAGCAAACAACCCAGGCTGGTAGCTGAGCTTCTGGCAGGAACATTGTCAATGGGAGAATGATGCAGAACAGGGTGAACGAGTAAAAGGGCAGAATAAGCTTCCGTAGGAGAAAGAACAGAAATATCAAATTCGCTTTCTTGGCCATACTTACCTGGAATGTGGAAAGAAAATGAGATATAATGCAGAAAATTGAACTTTCAACCTTTATATTCATAAGAAAGATTACAAAACTCAATAACTAAATGATGCAAGGAAATTTTTACCATAAACCCAAACATACCACAAGCAATTTGATAAAAAGTTTTCATTTTTGCCACCGAGCATTTGGCCCAATCATAGGTTCATGTATTTCCCATGTTCAAAGAACCGGGCAAATCTCGTTTCCTCAATCAAGGAAATAAGAAAACCACACTGAAGTTTCCGTTATTCAAGATCCTGTTTGTGAAAAGGATTGAAGTTTGGTGACTACGAAATCTACTAACTTCCCCCATTAAATTCATTACGATTCAGAAATAATAAAATAAATAAAGATAAGATGGTAAGGGCTAGCAAAGTTACAAATGAAAGCAAGCAATTCTCAACATACTGTCCCATTTTTACTCATTAAGTATGAAGAGCCAACAAAAACTAAGATGAAATCCTAATAAAGCTTTATCTCACAAAAGATATTCTGAAAATTTATTTTCTGTTCAAGAATTCTTATTCAGGTAGTTCATACCATCCATACATAATGTTTTTATCTAAGATTTAAAATTTTCCATTACAACAATTCTACCACCCAGTCACACTTTTAGTCCACATTATGTATTTGAATTTATTTTCAGACACTAAAATTTAGATATCAATCAAAGAGGAATATGTGAATTGTTGGCATTAGGAATATAACGTACAAACAAATGAATACATTTAGTTTGGTAAATATGTAAAGAAGAAGTAAACAGTTCTATAATGATTAAATAGAAAAGGAATATTTGAGCAGGTTTTGAAATATAGATTATACCAATAAAAACAACCTTAGGAGAAGTTGATTGTACCAATCACTAAGATATAGTAAGGCTTACAGCTCTTCATAAAAACAAGATACAAAGAGGATAGCAGTTGACTCCTAAAGAGGATAGCAGTTGACTCCCACATAAGGATCAAGAATACAGCATTAAAAACCTTCCAGTGTGAAAGTGAGATATCATAGAATATTAATACATTTCAAAAGAGTAGAGAAAGTTTGAATGCTGATTTCAGAAATGGAATATATATAAATATATATAAAATATAAACAATGGCCACAAAAACCTTAAGATGTATTGGTTAAGATACATGGGATTTTGCTTAAATGTTTTCTTTCTGATAGAACACAATGGTTGGATTGTCCACAGAACTAAGGAAATCAATAAAACTTTTAGGTAATAGAGTTAATAAAGTAATATCCTAAAGGAGATATAATTTCTTTATGCATGAACAGTTCAATTTTTATGAAAACCACAAATATAATAGCGTTAAGAAACTTTCATACCTTAGACCGAAGTATGTCAAGGAAGCACAATCTGAACAACTGCATGGGACCTGAATGCCAGCGGTGCTGCTGTTTCTTGTATGCCTCATAGGACTCAGGTAGTTCACAAAGGCACTGCAGACAGATAAAAGTTAGCTCACTTTTTCTCTCTCTCAATTGGGGAAGGAAATTTGTACATGATAACATGTCACAGACCTTAACATCATTCAGATATACAAACTTCCATCCACAAAGGTGAGCACGAACAGCGATATCCATGTCCTCAACAGTTGTTCGTTCCAACCATCCACCACAGTCCTCAAGGGCCTTAATTCTCCACACACCAGCAGTTCCATTGAAACCAAAGAAGTTGATAAACACACCATTGACCTGCTGTTCAACCTCAAAGTGGAATGATAAATTTATGTTCTGCAATCTTGTAAGCAGGTTCTCATCCTTATTTACAAATGCCCACCTTGTTTGGACCAATGCTAGGTCATCATTCCCCTAGAAAAACAGGGAAACAAACCCTGATTAGATAGAAATGATAGGCAAATTAAAAAATCAAAATGGAGAAATAAAAAGGAAATATATATCTTTTACAGGAAATCAACCAGTACCCATGCAGATTTGAAATTAGGAAATCACTAAAAAGCTCTGGAGTTATATCATTCAATTAGCCAATTATGGGGGCACGTATTAAACTTCCTTGTGTTCGAAAGGTGGATTAGGTCTTGTTGAACCAGTTAAGTTAAAATTTATATATTACTATTAATAGGATAAGCACTGTATAGTAGCTGAGAAACGTTAAGCATTTAAAAAGCCAAATATGCTACTCAAGTGCAGCTCAATATGAAAGTTAAATTGGACACTAGGAAAAAGTGAAAATACAGGATTAAAACTCTGATCTCTAGTAGCATCCACATTGTTATCTAAGTCAGGTTTTGTACTGGTTTAATGCAAAGAAAGAAACAAATACATATACCTGGATGACCATGGGTTTGGTATGAATTGAACATCAGAGAAAAATCATCTTATGTGTCAAATGTCACTGGAATAAATATTAATGTCAAAGACTAACTCTGCTTGTGACAAATTGCAGTTATGCATCAACAAGGGTTATCTACATAACCAGATTGTAAACAAAGACCACATTGGCCACCAAGTGGGAATTGCTTGCTCACAACTGTAAACCATCAAACTGCCACATCGTTAACTTTTAACCACATGGTGTTTCTTATCTTGAACCTATAGCAACTACTCAGCTCAACTAAGCATTAATCTTAATCTTGTTCAAGTTAGCTTTATCTCAAACCAATGTCTATGATTATAATAAAGAAAAGGATAATCTAGCACAGCACACCAAAATTATGTTCAAAGGAGATGGCTAAAGGGTATGGACACAAAAACACAAAGAGCTCATAAACACACACAAACAAGAAGGAAAACTTACATAATTAAAATGGAAATTTAATGGAAATTTTCAATTGTAATATATTTCTCCACCTAGACATTAACCGTCAAACCTTCTTAATCCTATAGAGTTCTTAACAGATGTGAACTAAAATTTTACCTTGAAATAAGGAATGGTTTTCTTCAAGAAATCAGGTGCTGGCTGGAAATCCGCATCAAAAATAGCAACAAACTCATAATTTTTCACATAATCACAATTCATTGCAGATTTCAGGTTCCCCGCCTTGTAGCCAGTACGAATAAGGCGATGTCTATATAACATATGCACACCCCTTTGTTGCCATTTCTGTACTTCTGCCTTGATAAGGAGCTGAACATCTAAATCATCAGAATCATCCAAAACCTGTACCAGCATTCTCTCCTTTGGCCAGTCCATGATACAAACTGCTGCAATAGATTGTTGGTAAACCTGTGCACCACAAAAGTGAAAGTTTTGGGAATTACCAAGAACCCACAATCAAAAAATCATTAATTGTTTAAGTTCAAGTTATTTTGATCAATTCCTAAGTATATGGAAGGAAAGAAAAGACAAAATTCATTGGAATTTCAGGGAATTTGAGCCTTAAATCTACTAAAGAACTGAGTAAAAAAAAGTCATTTAATTTTTTTGCTAGGGATTGTGAAACCTACATCTGCTTACCTCCCTCTCATTGCACATAGGAATTTGCACTAACACCATTGGATAATCCTCTACATTGTCTCCTTCTACTGGCCCCACCGGATACTCCATGGCTACCGTTGGTTTCACCTTCCTAAACTTGATCCAGAAACATCCTAACATCAAGACCACACGATCCACCGACTGAATCAAGAAGAGCACTATACACACATTCGCCAAGCTCTGCAGCGGCGGCGCCAAGTAATCGGCTCTAATTTCGAGCCACTTGGCGTACACAAGCTCGACTGCCGCCTCTGCCGACGCTGCCGACGGTGGACTGAAATGCCATCCCTTGAAATACGCAACTAACTCCACACAAAGTAAAAGAAGCACCAGAAACAGAAAGAACTTTATAATACGGTAAAGCCTGGAAGCGGAGGAATCGGAAGGGGAAGCAGAGATTCGACGGTTTGCGGTACGGAGGAGGATAATGGAGGCGTTTGTGATCCACGCGAGGGAGTTAGCAAGCTGCTGGAATCTCAAAAGGCAAACCCAGGACAGCTGGCGTGCGCTTCTGGAGCGATCTTTCTCGGCCGTACGATCAGGATTGGGACTGCTGATCTCAACGGTTAGGAATCCGTTACTAGGATTACTACTTTCGTTCGTGAAAAGCCCGTGGTTCTTCTCCCTTTGCTTGTTCCACCATTCCTGAAACTCATAATTTGGCGCTCGAGACATAAATCACCAAATCAAAAATTAATAAATAAAAAAATCAAATCTGAATTAATTCAATGTCGACAAACAAGGAGATCTTTTCTCAGTTTTTTTTTTTCTTCCCTCTTCTGCTGTTTTCTTGTTTCTGTGTTTGGACGGAGAGAAAGGGGGGGAAAATCTAAATTTAGAGTAGACGAAACATGCCATGTGCGGGTTTTGTATTTCTTAAGATCAAATCCAGATTTCTGTTCTACACGCGCTAATCACGGATGCTGTGGCAATTGTAAGATTATGACGTGACATGAGCGTAGGTCCTTGGCGCGTCAGCTTGGTCTCATGAATGGAAGAAAAAACTAGTACTATAGTAACAGTAACAGTAACAGTTGGTGGATGGATGATTGATCTCTCTCTGTCTGCAGATTTCTATAAAGCATCAGAGGTTACATCCACTTATGATTTTTTTTTTTAAATCAATGAAAATTTTTGTAAATGATTAAAATTTAAAATTTAAAATTTAAATGTAAAATATTTAAATTTGAATTTTTATAATTTTTTATACTAAAAATAAAATAATCTTTTCTACTCTTAAACTTCCTTCTACCACTTAAATTTTTTTTTTACTACACAATGTAATTTTTATTTCTATAGAATTACGAATTAAATTTTTAAAAATTATTTATAATTTTATTAAAAATAAAAAATGTAGTAGTAGTAGTAGTAAATTTTAAGCTAAACATGCATGTATAAATTTGTTTAAAAAATTTTTAAATTTAATTGTTGGATAATAATTTCAATCCATTTTTTTTAATTACACTATTTTGCTGGATAAAAATGAAAATGATGAAGGGGTGTATAAAAAATAAAATTGAATTTAAAGAATTTAATATTCAAGTTAATTGACTAATATAATTACTTTTAAAATTAATTTTTTAAATTGGTTAGATTTTGTTGAACATTAAAATTATTGGAGACTATAGGTATAAGTAAGTAGAGCTTTCGATAAATCGTTTATAAATATATTCAATTTTTTTTGTTTATATTTATTTGTTAAGTTTAATAAATAATTTTAAACATTATTTAAGTGTTTTTTTATTAAACGAATTGAATATAAACAGTTGTCTGTTCGTTTATTTTATGTTCATAAAAAATTTTTTTATGGTTCATTTAAAATTTATCTGTTTATTATTCATTTGTCGTTTATTTGTTATTTATTTATAATAATAATAATAAAATTATATTTTTATCTTTTATTTTAATCTTATTTTAAGGTTTATTTATATTTATTTAAATTCATTTATATTTATTTAAATTTATTTATTATTTATGAATTATTTATTTATATATATTCATAAACACATTCGTTTAATATTTATAAATAAATTTATTTAATTTAATTAAATAGATATGAATCAAATATAAATAATTTATTATTTAAATTAACAAATATAAACAAACAAAATAATTTTTTTAATAAACACAAACTACACACAATCATTTTTAAAAATAAATAAATAAATATAATCGTACATTTATTCGTTAATGTTCGCATCGCTGCTGGAGAGCAAGTCTACTAGAATTTTGGAGCATGCTCTCCTACCTGGCAAGTGACAGACTGACTTAAGCTGTCCGATAATGAAACGAAAATGATATAATTTGCCCTTTTCCGTCTTTTTTTTTTTCATTATTTGAGCAGCCAACTATGTTTGTTAGGATTTGGACGTATTTTTGTTTTTACTATTTTCTTACTTTCCATAGTAGGCATTAATTGACTGCTTGTTAATTAGTTAATATATTATCGAAGTTGATATTTAAAAAATTTTTAAATTTAATTGTTGGATAATAATTTCAATCCGAAATTTTTTTTTAATCACACTATTTTGCGGGATAAAAATGAAAAAGGTGAAGGGGTGTACAAAAAATAAAATTCAATTTAAAGAATTTAATATTTAAGTTAATTGACTAATATAATTATTTTTAAAATTGGTTAGGTTTTGTTGAACATTGAAGTTGTTAGAAAGTATGGGTGTAAATAAATAGAGTTTTTGACGAATTATTTATGAATATGTTTAATTTTTTTCATTTATATTTGTTTATTAAGTTTAATAAACGATTTTGAACATTATTTATATATTTATTTATTAAAAAAATCGAACACAAAAAATTATTTGTTCGTTTATTTATGTTCACAAACAAACTTGTTTATAGTTCGTTTAAAACTTATTTATTTATTATTCGTTTGCTATTTGTTTATAATAATATTAATAAAATTATTTTTTATTTTTTATTTTAATCTTATTTTAAGGTTCGTTTATATTTATTTGTGTTTGTTTATATTTTTTTAAGATTTATTTATTTAAATTTATTTGATTATAATTTATTTATTATTCATGAATTATTTATTTATATATATATTCGTGAATATATTTATTTAATATTTATAAATAAACTCATTTAATTTAATTAAATAAATACAAATAACTTATTATTTAAATAAATAAACATTAATAAATAAAACAAATTTCTTAACAAATATAAATTAAATATAAATGTCTTTTTAAAAAATGGATATATATAATCATATATTCATTCGACAATATTCACAACTAGGGTTGACAACAGGTCAAATCGAAATAAATTTTTACTCGTCCCGAACTCGACCTAATTTTATAATAAAAAATTTAACATAATTTTTTTTATATTTTTTATACTTGATCTAATATTATATAAATCGTATTTGATCAAATCCGATCTGAAATTAATAAAATATTATTTTTAAAATATATAAAATATTATTTTTAAATATAAATATATAATTATATATAATTAAAAATTAAAAAATAATTTTTAATATAATATTAGATCGAATGAAATTTACTTAAAATTCAAATTTAATTTTTTTTTTAATAATATCTTATCCAAAACTTAAATTTATTTTTAAAATATTTATATAATCAAATCGAATCAAAATCTATCATTCTCTGATTGAGCCAATCCTATTCGCAACGCCATTGGAGAGCAAGTGTGGTAGAATCTTGGAGCCTGTTCTCCTGCCTGGCAAGTGACAGACTGACTTAAGCTGTCTGATAATGAAACGAAAATGATATTATTTGCCCTTTTCCCTTTTGTTTTTTTTCATTGTTTGACCATCCAACTATGTCTGTTAGGATTTGGACGTATTTTTGTTTTTACTATTTTCTTACTTTTCGTAATAGGCATTAATTGACTGTTTTTTAATTAGGTAATACGTTATAAAAATTACGAATTTGAAAATTTGTATACATAAAATATTTTTTTAATTAAATAAATAAAAATTTTAAAAAAAGAATAATAGGCATTATCTAAGGAAAGAGGCCTATTTTGCAAAGTCAAATCTCAAAGCAATGCTTAATTAGGATCAACATTGATGCATACAACATTTTTTTTTCTTATGGTATATATATGAACTTCATTATTTTTAAGTTTCATTTGCAGTATATTTACTTTTGTGTTTCAAGATTTAAAAAAAAATGTTAATTTGCATGATATTTAAAAAAATTATAAATTCATTATTTTTTATTAAATTTGATGAAAATAATAAATTAAAGGAAACAAGTTTCTGTTTGCAATGTATTGAGCTGAAAATGAAGATGAAGCCACGCATCCGTGTAAATGAAAGTTGTGATATAAAATGTAAAAGCTTTTCTTTGTCATTCAAACCAATGTGATTCTTTTCAATCATACAATAATTAGTGTGACCAAGTGCTTTGCTAGGGGATAGATAGTCCCCCAAACTGTGGGTGGTAGGGCATAGGTTTTCCATATGGAGAAAAGAGAAAGATGAAACTTTTGAAGTACTTGTGATCTGAGAAGGTCTTTTGATCAATCTTACCAAACACAATTAAATGAAGTAAAATGGAGTAAAATTTTTATTTTTAAATTTAAAAAAATTTTAGGGAGATAAGAGTTTTTGATGTTTTATACTTTCTTCATTTTTAATATAGTAAAAAATATAAGATTCTGAAAAAAATTTAATCAAATTAAAAAATCAGATAATAAAAAATTAAATTTTGAGATAAAATGATCCCAATTAAATGCCCGGCAAATAAATAGCAAGCTAGACTGTATTATGTTTTCGATGGCTGGTTTTCGTAGTTTTGAGGTTCAAATCTTATTTAGTTAGGGTTTGGAATTTATTAATGTTTAGAGATATAAATGATATATTAATATTTATAAATTATTTAAATTTAATTTAAATAAAATTAAAATTCAATTTATTATTATCGAATTGAGTTTGATCTCAAATAATTTGATTTATATTGAGTAGAATTTAAATATTATTATTTTCAATTCGAATAATTTACGAATCAAATCGAATTTTTATTTTTAATATATATTTATTATTTTAATTAATAAATATTTTAAACTTGATTTAGAGTACAAATAATCGAGCTTTTATTGAATATAAGAATCAAATTTATTTTTATATGCTTAATCAAACCTAATCAAACGAGTTCGAGTAGTTCAATTTTTATCTTAGATTGAGCTGAAATTAAAAAAATAAAACCCAATCGAATTATAGTCCAACTCGAGTTCAAGCTTAATACTATATCGGTTCGAATTCGATCGATTACACTCTTATCAGTACTTCAATGAAAGTATGATCGAGCTCTCTCATTATTACCATTTGAATCTAAATATCAATTCTATTAAGATTCATTCAACATAAATTTTTCATTAAAATTTTTTTTTAATTGTAATTATAGTAAAAAATTTTTCAATTATAATTATAATAATAATATTTTTTTTTTTTAATTTTACCAAAATCAATCTCCTCACGTTCAAATAGACCCTTAATGTTGTTAGGAACCTTCAATAGGATTCATGTGACTATGACTAACTTCATTTTTCATCTGACTCAATCCCAGTTTTAGATTTTTGCTATGGAAAACTCTAATTAATTATAACCTGAATCCAACAAAGAACCCTTAATTGATGGCCGAGAACGAAGGATCTTCTGTATATACTTCATGTATTATCAGCAGGAAATGGAATCTTTAAATCGTGGAAATCAACTTTCTGCTCTTCCACCGTATTTTTCACTAATATTTCAGCTAATACTAATGGTCGTTTTCCAGGTACGTAAGCAAAGTTACAAGAGCTGGATGAGGAATAGAAGCACCGTGGAGTATTGTTTAGGCTGTAAGATGGGTTCCAAATCATAACAAGTTAACAATGGGAAAGACAAGAAATGAGTACGGATACCTGTCCCCAGGGGCTCCACGAATAAATAGAGGGTAGGGCAGTTTGGCTTTGGAGGGTAGATGAACAGCTTGATTTTCGTCCACATTAGCTACATTATTCGTAGCCAAGACCAAGAGCCCAAGATAATTATGAAACTGGTAGCATCGCAAGATTGTGGCGTCGAATGTACAGAGATGGATCGAAATGGAGCAGTAGGATGTTCATAGAAATAAT